TAAAAGATATAACCTAGAAGTCACATATGCACGCTCATACTAGAGGTCTTGCATCCACTAACAAACTGCGACCATTTGCACTCAGACCCTCAGAGGGTTTTCGAAATAACGGCATCTAATTGGTGCAGGAGTTTAAAGGAGTTTAGTGCGAAAAGCCTTACCCCATAGGGTAAGGCACGAAACGCCCTCTGAGGGTCTGAGCCTGCTGAGATAAGCGAGGACAGCAATGCGGCTGTAGTATCCCAGGAAGCGGCCACTGCCAGAGGAACAACACGCTTCTGCCGGACTGGATACCCGTACAAGGTTGCTCTGGCGCACGAGCAATGGTGCGCGGTTTGTAAAGGGGGTTCGAAAGACTTGAAAGAAAAGTACTGAGAGATACAAAGCGTGGAACAAGAAGCCGTTCGTGTGTCTGTGTCAATTTCCCAGAGAATCTTTGCCTGTTGGCGGACGAGTAACCAGGTATGGGGTAAGCCAAGGCCCGCGTACCCTGATGTTGCCTTAGACAGCAAGGCAGCAACAAGCTCCAGATGAGGCACGCCATCTGATGGTAAAGATAGTGCACACGTCGAACGCAGTCGAAGCCGTTTGTGACGTGCGACGGGTATGGGCCCCAGGTTCTCTTCTGAACTTGCGCTCCGTGGTCGAGAATGCGGCCGACGTCGTGCTACTTCTAAGCATATGAAGCATCGGAGCTCCCTTCAACCCAGGCCTTGATTTGGTTCACAGCGACGTATCCCACGCAAAATGGCACGCTTCACGATTACTTAACAGCATGGATCTTCTCTGCTTCATTTCGTAGTGAAATGGATGGTCTGACAAGAGCATCTGACCCAGGCCGTGCGTCCCATATTGCCAAAGCTGAATCCGTCCAATCCGCAAAGCGGACTTGTTTAACGATCTCCGCATGGCCGTGGCGCTCACGAATGGAGAATCAAGTTTGTGGTGGTCGTACGCTGTTCACGTTGGATCTAGCATTGAATCTTTCCTACTTTTCAAACACATGTGGCCCCAGAAACTGGGCACCAAAAACTACTGGAATGTCAGACTATTTGGTCTGCATCAATTGCCACCACTGTTAGAAATTGTCGTTGATGACATCCATCAAATAAACATATTAAGCTTCGTGCACAAAGAACGGGGTTTGACACGAATATCTGGCATCCAGCATCTGTTTTGTAATGAACAATGAGAACGCAAGGCCAAAAGCATAACCGCAAGGCCATTCAGTAGAGGTTGATACCTAGACACAGTAGCAAGACCTTGAAGATCACAAGGAATTTCAGCAGTAGACCTCGCGAATGAAATAGAATGAGCTGTTTCAAGTGAATCCGATGCCCTGTGCTCGGAACATCCCAATAACTACATTGGAGATTAAGGGAACGCTCCCAGGCTTAGTCACAATGCGAACGGGATATTGATTTTTTTTTTGATCTCTATCGAACAAGCTTACTGGTGTAGGTGTGCATCCGAGCCACACAACCGTCGAATTCCAAGGCAAGATCAGTAGGCAAGTGGCTAATGCCTTCTCAAGTTGCTTAGACGTCAAACATGCCTACCGCCACACTTAACGCAATGCCATCCTTACCCGTACCTCTACTGTTATCCAGAACAAACTTCAGGACGGAATCTATGTGAGAGTGGGCATGGCCAGCTTGTAAGCAATTGCCATGCGGCAACTGATCTCAAAACTGCCAAGAGGGGGAACTTGCACAGCACGCGAGACACTGAACTGCTCGGCCATTGTTGTGTGAAAAAAAAAGTGGAGGAAAATAAGAGATAACAGAGTCAAAGGAAGTTTGAAAGTGAAAAGGTATGCTATAGGGAGCATCTCAAATCTGAATTGTAAATCAAGAAATCGTAGGAAGTGGATCATCTCCAAGTACATGATCGAATGAAGCAAAGACTAGGTCTCGAAATCCACCGATAACATTCCGATTACAGCGAAATTCCAGTTCATCCTCCCCTTGGCTGAAATTTGTGGTGTAGACCTGCGCGCTTTCATAGGATGTAATTGTCATCCTTGGACTAGATGTCGCTATATGCGGCGGAGATAGTTTAGATCCGTACGATATGCGGGTAAGAATGAGCGTCTTTTCTCCAAGGTCTGCATGATTTTGATCGAAAGAAAGGATCCAGGGTTAATTAGATGGACCGCGACAATGTCGGTGACGGAACAGCTGGGCAACACTGTGACGATGTCGAAGGGAGGAGATCTCGCCTGTCAGCTCAAAAACACACATGTTCAGTGTGATTCCTCGGCGCGACATCTTCCTGGAAGTGAGAAAGATCAGTGCCTTTGAAGTCAAAGCACTAGGCCTCAGAGAGCTCCTCGTTTCTGCACCGGCAGTGTGCAGAGCAAGGAAGAATCGCGCGTTATAGCGCGAGTATCTGGTGGTAGACTTGGGATGCGCGGGGATACTTCGGCGGTCTGCTTTAGAACTAGTTCTAGTGCTTTTATCCCCGTCTAATGTCCGCCTGCTCTAAAAATTTCCGCGACTCGCATGGTGAACAACGGTTGATCGAGTCGCGAAAGACCACAGCTAAGCTGACCATGGGAAAGCGCTCGAGAGCCGATGGGCCTCCGGAAGATGCGCACACGAAACTCAGCAAGAAGCCCAGGCATGGCTCGACCACGGATCAGCTGGCAACGAAGCAATACGAGGAGATCATCACGGCGCGACAGTTGCAGAACCTTCTAGTGTTTGAACAGGACCAGGCGACCTTACTAAAGAGTAAGAATGTGCGAATGCAGATAGCATTCCACCTAGCTAACTTACTTGTATTGTAGCCGTCAATGCTTTTAGAGCTTTTCTCGCCAGCATACTACATCCTGAGAACGAAGACGATGTTCCGCGACGACGGGCCATATTACGGGAATACCTCGAGTCGCAGCGACCGAGAGACGTGGACGACGAAGAGACGGAGTATCTCCCCAACTTGATGCAGACATGGAACTTTGCGGCTTCTTCGAATAGCGACGTTCTGCTTTCGGCCGTTGCGTCCGCGATAGACCAGTTGCTCAAGATTCTGTCTACCAACCTTGAGCTTCGCGAGCATGGGATTCTGCTATGCAAAACGCTTCTACGGCAAGCCCAGCTTCGGTTATTATCACGTGGAGTGGCTTCTCAAAGACATAAGGAACACATCATTGGGCCCTGCCTTCGTATCCTGAAGGAAATTGTGTCATTCGACGGCGGAGTCCTAGCACGGTTGTTGTACTCTAAGCGCGACCTGGCATTCGATCCTCAAGCAATCGCAAAATGTTTGACATACAGACGACTGGATGCCACTGAGCCCGAGGACATTATAAAGAAGCCCTCTGTGCGTACTACGGCTGTGCGTTACGTCCTCGCCAACTTCAAGTTCCAGGATGACGGCGCAAAGGCGGACATGCTCAAGCAGGGGCCGATGATGCGCACGCTCGTCGATGGTATCGAGGGGGACCACCCACGCCTCATTGTGGAGATATTGCAATCGCTTATGAGGGATGTGGTTCAAGATCCAGGAATCCCACGGCGGAACAAAAGCTTCTTGTTCAACGAGCGAAATTTGCTCAGTCTTTGTCAACTATATAGAGTTAGCTTACCGGAAGGCGAAGTAAATGACCTCTCGGGTAAACCGCTCATGGACGAAGTTCACGACTTCATCGTCACAGTTTGCACCTCTCCTGATGCAGGTCTACTCCGTCCTTCGGGCTGGTATCCTCCTACGAATGACGAAGAGTCTCCGCTGCTTCAGGACAGTGCCGATTCTGGAATCGATCTCGGCCTTTCCGGCATAGATTATTACCGAAAATTCGGCAAGCATGTGCCTATCCGTAACCAGACTCTGTTCGACTTCATTCTCACTCTCCGGCCTTATGCTTTTGACTACGAACGGCAACTACTGCTTGCCATCTTCGAGGCTGCACCGGAACTTGTGGCTGTCTTTTGCAAGAAGATGGCGCAGACGTTCCCATTCTCCCCAAAGGTAACAGCAACGTGGGTTGGCTACGCAGCGGCACTGTTTGAAATAATACAGCTTCCTGTTCCTCGACTGTACAGCAGGATGAAACATTTACCACCACCTGTATCGATCATGATCGAGAGCGTGCTGCCTGCACCGCTGGACCAGAAGACCTTGAGACAATGTTTGGTCAGCAAGTCAAGCTTGGTCTGCTTCTTCGCTGTACGAATTCTAGCGGCCAGTATGCATAAACTCGGGGCTGTACTTAATATGCTGAGAGAAAGTGGCAAGGAAAGTGGGGGCAAGTTGTGGAATGAAGCAGAGGCAAAATTGGTGGAGGAATTCCGAAGACGCTGCCCTACTTTACAGGATATTGCAAAACTGTATGCCACGTTGCGGAATACAGCGACAGAGGCGAAGAAAATCATGCAGCACGAAGCCACACTGCGGTTGTTGGCACTGTACCACTCCGTGCTCCCGCAAATTGCACTTGAGGAGAAGGCTTTCGATGTGTCAATCCCTCTTACAAACGCGCTCCAAGAAATTGAGAAAGCTTCCGCGGATGAAGAGGTCGAAAATACGAAAATCAAAATTCTAGAGCTGGCTCATCTGGTGAAGATTGCAAGGAGCGCGTCATCAGTACATTGGATAGGCAAGACAAAGGGGTTAAAGTACTCTCCGCTTGTGACGCTACTGCGTTTGCTTGCGAGGAGCAACCCAAATCATGTCTCGGATATTGCGCAATTAGTGAGGGGAATTTTGGAGGATGGAGATGCCGTGCAGGTTGAGTACGCCTCATCTTCGGTATCAGACCACAACGATCCGAGACCAAGCGCTCTAGCTGTTCTGATATTCTCGCTCAAAGAATCGTATGACGGAGAGAGCATTCGAGCCTCGGATGATGCCGTGTACTCGTTCCTGGACAATTGTTTCCATCGATACACAGCACGGCCAATCAAGTATGAAGATGACAAGGATGCTTTACTTTCGAAAGCAGATATGTCAAGGGATGCATTCTCAAAACCGTGCAGCTTGATCTGTATGACGATATTGGAGCAGTGGTCATTTGTGCAAGAGGACAAAGAAACGATTGGCACATGGATTGCCAAATTCGTAGAATTGCTAGCCGCAACGGCGGATCCCCTTCCAGAGGCTATTCGAACAACAAAACTGCTGAAGGAGCTTGGAATTCGAAAGTACGAGGGAAACAAAGAGAAGCGTGAAGAGCGTCGCAAAGCGCTGGGAGACTGGATGGAGAAACACGTTAGAAGTATTGCCGACGCGGGAAAGCAACAGTCCACCACCAAATCGACAGTTGATCCAGAGGACGACAACGGTCCCAGTTACGTATCCCTAGATCTAACGTTCTTCAGCCTACCTCCTGAGCCTGAGAGCTACCCCGTCTTAACCCGCTACCGGAAGAAAGACCTCACGACATTAATCGAAGACGGGGACCTCAGCGCGCTGATTCTAAGCCTAGCATCTTCCCACCTTTCTATTCGTGTGCAAGCCTTAACTGCGTTACGGGCGACAATGACATCACTGTCCGCAAGCACACATATGGATAAGGACATGCTGTACTTGCTGCTAGGCGAGTTACTAGAAACGTGCGCAGACAACGACATCAACGAAAAACCACTTGCGGGCATCGCTGTCGCCTTTGCGTCGAAAGCAGTGGATGTCCTCAAGGATCCCACGCACGCTCTCTATCCCAAAGTAAACGAGTTCCTCAATCGCGGTCCTGTCTGGAGAGTCCGGGCGATGCCCGCCCACTGGCTTGAACAAGTGCTTCTTCACCCTCCAGGGGATAACGACACCGAGGGCGCGTATTGGCGCGAGACCACTTGGGTCCTGGACTGGCTTTTCTCCGGGCTCCTTACCAATGAGGATTTCGACATTCTCCGCCGAAACAGTGTGTTCGAAAAGCTGATGGCGTTATTCTTTCATCCTGCAATCAACGAGAGAAGGCGGTTCGCGGAGCTCATCACCGACGCGAGCGCGCTGGACAAAGAGCAAAGCTTGCAGGCTAAGGTTCGCCCACTCATCGTGAAGATTTTGCTCAGGGCGGCGATGGTAGAGGGCGCTACGATTCTCATCACCGGTGCAGGCGTGCTAGCTTGGCTGGGAGATGTAAAGACGATGGTGGCTGGTGATCGGAATGCTATCGCTGTTGTACAGCAGATAGAAGATGCTATTGTGCAGCGTGCCGATGCAGAGAAGATTAGACTCTGGAGTGGCGGGCTTTTGTGAACGACGGTTGAACGTCCATGAGATACCATAGAATCGAAGTCTTTCCGCTTTAAATCTGACTGTACAGTGCCTTGTCTACACCTTTTCTATTCTGCCATTCCCTATAGGACATCTTCCCAGGGGCCTGTGAGGATAAACGTTCTGCAGATTACACCCTTGCCACGAATAACTGGTCAGAACAAACGGGGTCCAGGAACAAGGAAGCGAGCCGTAAGGAAATTTGATGTCGAGGCTCAGAAACTCAATCCTGCTCAATTGCTGGAAATGGCGCTTCCGCGCGATTTACATGACAGCATCTCTCAGTCCGACACGGAGGGCTCACCGACGACGACTCCTTGCCGTACCTCAATGGCTAACTGTTGCTGCGGAGTAAATCAGCGGCATTGAAGTCGGCCGAAGCTATTCCGAGATCGGCTTTCCTATTCGAGCAATAGACGTAAAGCAAATCACCACGCATCCCACGTTTCTCCATCTGCACAGGCACATCTGACCCCTTTCGGAGGGGAAGCTTTCCGCAGCGATGGAACCGCATGTTTCGATCATTGGCAGTCGGTTGCGGGGCCCTGAGATGAGCCGTGGCTACGTGTCCGCAGGAATTCGGAATGTAAGCCTGATAATCCCATCGCCAGTTCTGCGACAATTGTACGTTCCGACCTCTCTGGACTTGCTCCTCGCCGCAGACTATTGGCCATGCCTCAGAGCGAAGTCGTCGTCAAAGGCTGGAAGGCCTCTTCGGAGGAGAAACGAGCGGGGCAGTCGGTCGATTTGCTTCTGGAGCCCCAAGATGGAGAAAATGAAGTCCTCTTCTCCTTCACCGGGATAGGCGATGGCGTTTTTCGTACTACATTGAGTTCAAAAAGCCACCCTTTGCCTCCGTGGCCAAGCGTACATAGACAAAACGCTGATCCGTTTCTAACAAACAAGGATGGGAAACGGGGGAAAGGGTCGCAGCAATCTGATCTGTCGCTGTTCTCCTCAGAGCCTAGCTTTAGCATTTCATCGACATTCGCGAAGGCGAAAGTGGAGTGGAAAGACGGCCCTCCCACAATTTCGATCTTCACTAAGGACCAGCTAGATGAGCCTATTCATTACGATCTGCCTCATCGATCATATGTCTTTGATGGTCCCGGCGTTGCCCATTACACACGCTACAAGCGTGATGCTTTGCATGTTGGGCTTGGGGAAAAAGCTGCGCCTATGGATCTGTCGAATCGGCACTTTATTCTTTCCGCAACGGATTGCTTCGGTTATGACATCTACCGGACCGATCCATTGTACAAGCATATCCCGCTGCTTATCAGCGCCACATCTGAACACGCGGTCGCAACGTTCTCAACCTCGCACTCTCGAGGAACGTACTCTGTGGGGTCGGAAATCGACGGAATGTGGGGTCGATACAAGGTCTACAGACAAGATTTTGGTGGCCTCGAGGAATACGTCATCGTTGGACGGACGGTGCAAGAAGTGATACGCAAATATGCCCATCTAGTTGGATTTCCGCTTCTGGTACCCCGCTGGGCGTTTGGCTATCTCGCTGGCGGGATGAAGTATTCGATGTTAGACGAGCCTCGTGCTTGCGACGCTTTGATGGACTTTGCAGACAAGCTGAAAGAGCATGACATTCCGTGCTCCGGTTTCCAGATGTCCTCAGGATACACGGTTGCGGAAACGGAGCCAAAAACTCGTAATGTCTTCACTTGGAATAGACATCGCTTTCCTGACCCAAGGGCGTTCATTGACGCATATCATGCTCGCGGGATTCGAATAATTGCAAACGTGAAACCGTACGTTTTAGCCAGTCATCCCGAGTACGAGCGTTTGCGCAAGGCCGGTGCTTTCTTCACCGATCCTCGAACTGGCGGAAGTGGCGAAGCCAGGTTGTGGAGTGCTGGAGGCGGCGAGAGCGGAGTTGGCGGACATATTGACTTTACATCCACGGCAGGGTACAAGTTCTGGTACGACGGAGCCAAGGAGCTTCGCCATCTCGGAATCGATTGCATCTGGAATGACAATAATGAATTTACGATTCCAGATGACAATTGGCAGTGCGCTCTTGAGTCTGAGATCATCAAGGAGTCTCGTCTAGCCAATGGTTCAAAGGCCGTTGGTATCTGGGGTAGGTATCTACAAACTGAACTGATGGGGAGAGCATCGCACGATGCTGTCGTAGAGGTTAAACCAGATGAGCGATCATTCATCCTCACGAGAGCTGGAACAGCTGGTACTATGCGTTATTGTGCCAGTTCCTGGGGTGGTGACAATGTTACCAGTTGGGAAAGCATGAAGGGAGCAAATTCTTTGTCGCTCACGGCTGGAATCTGCTTACTCCAAGTAAGCCGAAGCTTCGCGTTCTATCGTTCTCAACTTACTTTTATTTAGTGCTATGGACATGATATCGGCGGCTTCGAAGGGCCTCAGCCTAGTCCTGAACTCCTCGTTCGATGGGTCCAGCTGGGTACTTACAGCCCAAGATTTGCAATAAACTGCTTCAAGACCTCGCCTCAAAATAACAAAGTTGGAGATGTTATCGAACCTTGGATGTATCCAGAGGTCGTTCACATTGTCCGTGATGCCATTAAAAGGCGATACGAGATAATCCCTTACTTGTATTCCCTGATGCTCAGAAGTCACTTATATGCCGAGCCACCGCAGCGATGGGTCGGGTGGGACTACCCCGGCGACGGAGAAGTCTGGACCGATAAGAAGCTGAGAGATGGCGAGGAGCAGTATTTTCTCGGGGATGCGCTTTTGATTGGGGGAGTGTATGAGCCAGGCCAAGACATGGCACGTGTGTATCTTCCCTCGTCAAGAGGCGGCTCAGGTCCCGTGGAGCAATTTCTAAATCTGAACGAGCCATACCAGTACTTTGAGTCGGGTCAGTGGGTCCATGTAAAATCGAACTGGCAAGACAGCATCCCCGTTCTGGCAAAGGTTGGATCCCTGATTCCCGTGGGCAAGGCCGAGCAAACGCTGTCCCCAGGCGAAGTGAGTAACGAGGCCAAGCTTCCCTTGGATGACTACCGCGCCGTTGAAATATTCCCACCACGACCAAACCACGGATCTTCTGGCACGTATATGAACTCATGGCTCGAAGATGATGGAATATCACCGGCGCCATCTGCCATCCTTGAGATTGAACTCACATACCAGTCCCACGAAACCACCGTCGACATCGTGAGCTACAAGCACAAAGTAATAAACAAATCTTTCAACCCAGTGTGGAAGACGCTGTGCTTCATTCTTCCGGTTGGTGACAGGCGGTCAGTGACTTTGAAAGGAGAGCAGCTAGCTCTGAGGTGTGTAGATTCAAAGGGACGCAGCATCTTCGAAGCTAGTGTCGATATACTTCTGAAGTCCTCTCCTCCAGATCTATGAGCGCTCGAAAGATTGTCTCTTAGAAACTGTTAGGTTTTCTTTCGGTAATGAAGAGCTGTTGAGAAACTTTCTATTCTCGTCTAGTCAAGCTAGTCAAAGTGTGATTAAGATGTCCGTAGTTGCATCATACGGAGCCAAGCCCACCTAAATTTTTTTTTCCATAAGTTATCGTATAAATAAGGCTATTCCTTTATACGAATGCCTGCTTCGACCGCCAAGCCACTTTGCCGTTACTCGCTTTCGACAGTTTCCGCATCGCTCGCTGCGTAGTCCAGTCTACGAAAGTGATCGACTCCGTCGGCAAGCAAGCTTAAGTACGACAGCATGCAGAATGTCGGCACTCGTCAGAAAGACGAAAAGCCGCCCGTACATCTGACGTTTTCGATCTAGGATCTGGTGACGAGCCTGAGAAGCACTGAATGGGCACCTGCATGCTTATGGTCGTGCTGAGCTGAATCAGACAGAATCATGCGCAGGTTTGGCGAAAGGACGTAGGAGCGTGATATATGCCAAAAGTGCCGGGAAGCGATGACTCGTTTAACAGTTCACCTTTAAGATACCGGCCATGTCGCACGTCTTGCGTCCTGGTCTGCGCTTGAGCTTTGCTATACTATCGGCTCTCGAACTCTACGCTGCGTCCTTGTCTCTGACCACGAAGTCACAAAGAAGCGATTTGAGCCTCTCGGTTGGATTTGCAGAAAGCAGCTTGCAAATAGCCTAATAATATTCACGTAGTCTCTTGGACCTCTTGACAGCAGTGAGAGACCACCCCATAACATACTAAAGAGGAAAAAAAAATGGAAAGAAAATGCTACATCCGTTTCTCAATGAGCTGATTCAATCATCTACTTGGTGATGGAAAGAAGGGAAGAATAAATGCTTACGGCGCAAATGTAAGATCAAGAAAGTAATGGTCAACAGGAATGATGCTGAGAAAGTTAAATGCAATATTTGATTGCTATCGCTGGTGCCACGCTTGACGCGATCAGGCACGGGGTATCAATAATCATGTCATCGTCGCAATGCTATACAAAGTCCAAGTCCAACACCCTCTACAAAATGTAGTCCGGATCCTCGATGAAAGCACCGTCCCACTTCCGTTTAAAGTCCACGTGCAGGTCCCACTCTCCAGGCGTGAACCCGCCGTTGACCAGAAGGGCTGCAATCCACCACCTGGCGGTGCCCATGCGCGCTGCATTTACCTGTTGACGCATCGACCAGGTGGGTATGTTCTTGACCCGTGCGATGCCGTTCATGATCGTGAAGACGCCGCAGTCTTTGGCGTTGGTTTGAAGGCATGTGACAGGCCTGCGGGCCTGCCACTCGCAGGGGATGAAGTCCTTGCCCAGCTCGAAGCGCAGCCAGGCCATGACCTTGTGCCCGATCTGGGCGTTGTAGTGCGAGTTCTCTGATACGTCGAGACTGTTCATCGTTTCTATGGTGCGGTTCTCGCAGTCCAGCACCGTGATGGTCCAGTGCGCACCCAGACACACTGGAAATAGAATCTTCTTGGCTGATAGAAGATTTGTGCCGCCAAGGTTAACGCCGCGCTTGCGCGCCCAACGTTTGATGCCGGAGCCATCGCCAATCGTGTTGAACCAGCCGCTGTTGAATGCCCAAAAAGGTGCTGGGGTGGTCGTTTGGGACATGTTGTGGCCTGCTTTGAGATTTGCTGCTTTTACAAGGTGGCTGAGGGCGGTGTTGACGATGTTGTCGTTCAGCCAGCCGCTGGCACTATCGCTTCGGCCAGTTGGAAGGAGGGTGCCCAGGTCGTGGCGGGAAAGCTGCCCATTCTCGATGACCACCTCATCCGGGTTGGTCTTCTTCAGGCACTGGATGGTTTTCTTGACGAGCACGTGGTCTGGAGTGAAATTTGCCTTGATGATAGTCCGCTCAGCTTCGCGCACAGCCTCTAGATGCTGTTCAAGTTCGGCCATCTCTTGGAATCTTCGCCTCGCCTCCTCCGCCTCCTCGGCGGCCAGCCTTTCCCTCTCCATCAGCTCCAATCTCTCACGCTCTCTCTGTCGAGCCATCATGGCTTCGTGTTCCTCCCTGTTCCTCCTAGCGATCTCATCGCGAATCGCCTGTTCCTTGGCATGTCGTTTGCGAATTTCCTCCATAGCACGTTCCTCCATTTCTTTTGCGTAGCGGGCTTTCATTTCCGCTGACATCTCATTATCCGCGTCGAGCCTGCTGTCTGCTTCCCTATACCATGAAGCCATGGTGCTGGTCAAACCATCATCCTCGTCGTCGTCGTGCACATACGTCTTGGAAGGCGATTTCTCTTGCTCTTGACCGAATCCCTTGGGTTTGGGTGACTCTAGGAATGATTCATCTGGGTCGAACTCTGGTTTCGGTTCGCGGTAGCCACTGTACTGTGGTCCCAGCGGCTCGTTGATCGCAAGTTGAGGCACATAGTACTTCCAAACTCCATGCTTGCTGTCCATCGTCTCCCCAGTTAGCCAGCTGTAATGCTTGCCAGAGAATGAGATCTTGGTAGATTTTCGTGGGATGTCGGCCTCCATCATCTCGAGGTCGCCTTCTTGATCGACGGGACTTTCATCCTCGTCAAGGTATTTCTGTGGTGATTCGATGAAGAGAGTTGGTTCGAATGGCCTGTGGGACGGCCTTGAGGAACGAAGAATAGACTGCACAGGGCGATTGACACCATGCTCGTAATGGTAGGGCGACCAACGCCTGGGCGACTTAGGGATTCGTGCAGCTTTGACCGGCGTCGGGACAATATCTGCTGGGTCATATTGACCAGTGCCATAGCCTCGGGGCCTTTTCTTAAGGCTGTTAAGAAGGACACGCTTGTTCTCTCCCACGTAACTAGCTGGTAACTTCTTTGGGCGTATAGGTGTGTCCACGAACGCGGGTGGTAGATCAAAAAACTTCTTGAAATGTGTGGTTTGCTTTTCTTCAGGCTCCGAGCGCAGCTCCTCGTTGCTGGTTCTGGATTTCGTGATGGGAGTCTTTCCCGCGCGGCTCTTTCGAGCTTCGGCACTTCTGTCGGGAGTGTCATGCACAGCAACGTCTTTGGTCGCCGACGCCTTGCCCCGATTCTCCGACTGAGATTCTTCGTGTGATTGTGGGTGCGCGTCTACGCGTGGAAAGGGTGCTCGGAAGCGGCTGATCACGCTTGCGAGCAACGAGTTGATGAACTCAGTGGGAAATGGGAAGCGTGGGGGTGGAGACTTGCGCAGTTGCTTTGATTTTGGCGAGCCTGGCTTTGTGGGCGAAGACTGTGGTTGCGGGTAGAGAAGGGATGAGTACGCGACATGGTCCAGCAGATCATCGTGGATCTTCTCCGGCCATGCGCCGGGCATGGTGTTGCGCTTGACGGGCATCTGCGAGGGTGGAGGTTGGGGGTAAGTGCGCGCTCACGCGGCAAAGGCTCGCCGTGCTGGGTAACTCACCTCGTAGAAGCGGCGCTTGGTGGCCGGGTTAGCGATGTCCTCCGCCGCGCGCTTCATGGTTAGTTGCTCCTGCAAGCGACGAGAAGCAAAACGGCGGTTCGCGTGTGTTGCTCAAGAAGCTGAGGCCGCAGGTCGGTTGCTGGGTGTCCTGGCTGCAAAAGTGCAGGGACGGCGCTAGTGCGTTTTGGGAAGAGGCTTGGCAGCCTCGTTTCGAGCCTTCCTCTGGTGCTTGAATGCGTGGTGGAAGGAGCAGAACGGACGGAAAGTGCGAGACGCTCGTCCTATATACCTTCCAGCGCATAGGCCACGCAGCCAACCACCGAGCTCGCACCTTCAAGTCCAGACTACCTTCTTCTGGCAAATCGCAAGAGCACAAACAGAGGGCAGCAACGAAGGCTGCCGTGCTGGAAGACCGTGTGCAATCCAGAGGCTTGCTTTCGAAGGCGCTGCTCGTGCAAGAAAGCCCCGTCCAGCCTCCAGGGTCACTTGTGCAGTCCTCGCGGTTGGTTCATTCAATGTTCGCACCTGCTTCGTCTTGCTGAGTTCCACATCGCTCTTGCTCTACATTGTGGCTAGTAAACAAGTCTTCCTGGGAAACAGCGCTGTTGCTGCGCCGGAGCCGACCAAGTGCCGATGCCAGGTCAGCCTCCTCCGGCCTCGCGTTGTCTTCTCGCTCTCCTTTCTCGCCCGCTTCGTCGCCCCACCCAGCCTCTGCACTTGTAGTGGTCAGTCAGCAATACCACTCCGTTGAGAAACGGAGGCCGGCCAAGAGGTGCAGTCATTCTGAAGCCAATCCTTGGGCATTTGAAGTTCTTGAATTCCTAACTGAACCGCCCAGTCATGGCACCAAATGTTGGTGTCGAGATGCTCCTCCCTCAATTGCTTCGGCTTCACAGCGAACCTTTGTTGGTGTGTCTTGACTACGACCAAACAAGCTCTGCCCTGCTCTCATTGCTACGTAATAATATTCTGAATACGTGAGCCATCTGGATGGTGTGACTGGATTGAGCAAGTCAAGAAACCAGCCCCTCGCTCACGTAACGCCTCACCGTCTCGCCGAGGACTGAAGTCAGAGAGTGGGCACTTCTCGATCGCGGCAGCTTTGTGGCAGACAAACTGATTGACTCAATGTCTCCTTGCTGCGGCTTCAATATTCTGCACACGAGATTTGTATTGAAATTCTCGACCATAGAAGGCGCGACCACTCACGGACTCACATCCCTCTTCCCCGTCTCTTCCTAAACAGATACCACGCACCAACACAATGGATGGTTGAAACGCTATCAGTTGGTCAGCAGTTTCATGGACGCAAAGTTGTGCAAGTGAACAGATTATTATGCAACCTGTTAGCTGATCCAACACCTCGTGCGCTCACTTGGAGGCCGTCATTCGGTACCTCGTTGCCTATGTTTTTGAATTTATATTACCTTCATCAGAGCAAGGGTTAGGCAGCGCAGAGAGGAGAATGTGAATTGAAGGCTCCTTCAATATATGCGCCACAAGCGATTAGAAATTTAGACAAGTGGATACGTATACACATGAAGGACGCTCAATTAAATCACGAATAAGAGCCTCGGTCCTACAGCTACAATTAGAAACTGATTGGCTTACTCAGTAAAGGCCGTTCTCAACAAGTCAGAATCAGAAACCCTTCAAGACCGTGAAGAAAAATACGGAGGCACCAGAGGTGTACATAAGCCAAGGGCGTCTTGGTCAATGTCGGCCATCTATACCCTCTGACGATCTTCCCTAGAAGAAGCCATTGTGAATCACCGGTCGAAGATCAGTCAAGGCATAGTGAACCTAGCTGATCGTTTACTGCTAGTCCAGTCTGAGGGATCCTTTCAAAGCTCATCAGATCGAGGTCTTTCCTTTTGGCCGAAGCAAAAGCATCACATCATTCGAATGTAACTCTTTATTTATTTGTTTCAATTAACCTAAATGCTTGAAATGAGGGCCGGGCTGAGCTGTCATTGTTAGGCATCCAGAAACAACTGGAGTTCGAGAGCAGAGATCAATGGTAGTCTGGTAGACGGTCAGTTACACCTTGCCATCGTCACATGCCTAAAATCTGAGTCTTAAGTTAGAGGATCAACTAGTTCATATTAACGACTTAATCGACGCTGCCTATCATGCTTGGATGAGGGTCTCGCTGGATGTACAGACGATACAATTGGCTGCAGGGCAACCTTAGTATGCCATGATCCAGCAAACATTGCTGCCAGTTAAGTCAGATTCTGCAAATCATAAATCAAAAAGGTTCAATGTAATTTCAGGCTTCAAATTTTGTGTGTGATTTAAGACGATTGTATGGCACGCCGGTTGAGACGGATTCTCCTGCTGTCGCGTATGCGCGGCCGAACTGAGAAAAGCCGAACGCGGAGGAAATTTCCCAAAATGATCAAATGTCTTGGCATCGCATCCCTCTGCCTCGAAACATTTCCAAAGCCATTGAAACCATCGCCATCCACCGTCACCATGCCGATTACGTTTCTTCGAAGCCTGCTGAGGCTCCCGCGACCGTCTTTTAGACCACAGCCGAGCTTTGCGACGCCTCTCACTCCATTCAATGGCTTCGCACGCACGTTCTCGTCATCACCGTCGACACAAGCCACATTCAATCAAGTCCTACGCGGATGCAGGAAGGGCCAGAAGGCGCGAAGAAAGGTTTCGCCACAGCTGGTAAACAGGCCGGCAATGAAGGGCGTCTGCTTGCGAGTGGGTATCACGAAGCCCAAGAAACCTAACTCTGGAGAGAGGAAGATTGCAAGAGTGAGGTTGAGTAATGGCGTCGAAGCCACGGCATACATTCCAGGAGAAGGTAGGGCATATACTATTGCATATTTCAGGATAATCAGCGCTAATAAGGACGAACAGGGCACAATGTGCAGCAGCACTCGGTCGTGATGATTCGGGGCGGCAGAAGTCAGGATTGTCCCGGTGTCAAGTATCACGTCGTAAGAGGGACGATGGATCTGGTACGTAACCGTAACTCTCTTCAAAGCAGTCCCAGAAAAGGGCGACTGACAGATGGCGACAGGGCGGAGTGCCAAATCGCGTGACCTCAAGATCAAAGTACGGCACCAAGAAGCCCAAGACTGGCTAGTTCAATAATCCAAGGCGTGTACATTTATACCCTCGGTGTCACCAGGAGCTCGGAGGCGTGGAGAAAAAAAAATGCCGAGATACAGCGGCTCAGGTCCAGTACGATACTGTTCATATATCCCAAACAGGAGCTAGGAGAGCGGAAATTTTCTAGGGACATCGCTGTAACGTGTAAAATATGAGCATATTGCATGGCATTAGATGGAGAAACAAGCTACCCAGATAAGCTTAGGATAACTCACCGCTATCCATTCCCTTCAAAGCCCTTGCGTTATTCGAAGCGAACATCTACCTCAAATATGTGTCATCGCGTGGCTGGCTCACGCTCTTTCGTCGCGGCCATGTAGTATCGCACACGTTCCAGGATACCATCGTCCAAAGCTTACACAATCACCCGGTGCCATTGTGCTGAGTTTGCATTGGAACTTCACAAGCCCACAAGCGCATTCCACGCCCAACTGAAGATTTCGATCGTGTAAGTACGTGGCCAGGTGCATTGAGGATTACATCCACCGCCCACTCCGACCACCTCGAATTTCTCACCGCGTAAATTCCAGTGATCGGCATGATTGATGTCGCATCAAGTTGTGCATCCACGCGACGACGAGTCGTTCGATTCGACGGGTTTCCAATTTTGGACCATCTCTGAGCGAGTGCCACGGGATTGTCGCGGCCTCCACAAGTCACGAGAGAGACGTTCTTGGCTACTTTCGTACCTCATGCTGACTGCTTCTGAACCGCTGCTGGTGCTCGCGAGACCACGAACGATCGTCCGATCCCCCGGATACGATGCCGTCTGGGAAACGAAGATTGCCTCCGCGGCCAAAATCGGCGTTACGACGGGGACGACGATTGCGAGGCTTTGCTTCCTGTCTCGCGGGTGGGAAAGTTCTGTTCGTCGGCCAGCCATGCCTTTCGAAACCAGAGCCGGAGTAGCCTTTTTTTTTTTTTTTTTTTTTTTTTTTTCATACCTCCGTGGTCGCCGCTACCCCAGCTCCATCACCGCTCCCGGAGGCTCCGCTGTATTCCGGCCAGCACCACCACGACCACATACACGACCGCCGTCGCGCACCGGTTTTTTTTTCGAATCGCCGCCGACATGGACCTCGATCATCACGGCGACCGCCAGCGAAGTCGTAGCAAGGTCTTTGTCCGGCGACGACGATGATCACAGGGCCTGCGCCGGGCAGCACGTGCGCTTTTGACGCGAGCGACTGCAGTCGTCCTGGCGTGCATCTCGATCAGTGCGGTTCATGGAACGTGTGGAAGCGAAAGCTGCCGCCTCGAAGGAACAGCGTCGGTGTGTTCGGCTGCTTTCGACTTCTTTCCCAGCGGGCCGATTTTGCTCGTGCTGAAAATGTCTTTTTACAGTGCCGCACAGCTTGCCCCCCAGTTTGTGCGGCCAGCACGACGACGCTTCCGGTGCCTTGCGTCCCCTCTCCTCCTCCATCCTCGGCGTCCATCCTCGACAGGTAGAATGCGGTCTTGTTTTTGCTTGCAGAATCCGCGGGGGGGTTCTCCCTCGTTTCCGAAAAAAGCCAATGCATTCCACGCGTAGCTTGTTCGCGTAGAACTTGCGAAGATTCGACCCTGGACTCGGGCGCCGCTGTACAGAGACAGGAAAACATATATTAGATACGTATACGTCATCTTGTCTCGTTGGTGGAGATTCACGGCTGCATCCTCGTCGTTTCGGCCAGACGCCAGATTCTAGATGTGCTCAGCCTCGTGTAATTTCACGCAGGTTTAGAAGCAAGTTAACATGGCACGCTTTCGATCCCCACAATATCGAGAAGAGACAGACCTGCGCTACTGTACTCTCCATCCGTGTATCCTGTAACCCGAGTCTGCTCCTGTTCATGTGTCCAAACCAGCCGGCCAGCCTCGTGCTGGGTTTATATTCCAGCCCAGCTCGGCGCTGAATCAATTTTCACCCCGCACCCAATCAAACCTCAGGCACGCCAACCCGCAGATCGCTCCCTCTCCTTTGACCAAAAATAGGTCCGTCCTCTCCGCCAATGCCCTCTCGCTGCCAGCTAGACCATCGCTTTCCCGCCAGAGGAAATCTTGCGACGTCAAATGGATCCCTTCCCCTCAGCTTCCGAGCTTAGGGCACAGAAAGGAATGCTTTTCGTCGTGTGACGTGCCCGCAGGTGGTGCGGCGAGGGCTCGCTCCATCCGTCTGAAACGAGGCCGTCCGATGGACGGGTGGCAATTTCAGGACCGCGAAGCTTGACTTGCGAAAGCGGGTTATGCCTGTCTGGCAGCTCGTATGTCGGGCTTGGGAGCTGACGGGATGAACATTGCCTTTTGTCTTGGTACGCGGGCGCGAGGAGTCTCGATCGAACTCGTCACGCAGGCTAGGTTTATTGCACTTATTTCTTCCTCTCCCTCCGCGCAACCCCTTTCGATGTGATCTTCGTTCTTCACCTCGCCACAGATCAACCATGCTGTCTATTCTCAGGTTGACTATCGTGATTGGGGCTCTCATATGGAGGTGAGAGGGGCCGTCTTATCTTCTGAAAGAAACGCTTCCGCACGCTGACTGTAGAGTTGGACAGCGTCTCCGCACAGCAGGATACATGTCCTTGCTACACTGAAGTCGCAGTCCCAAAATGTCCACCGGTTGAAGGCTGCGTCACTCCAGCATGCGTCATCCTCACTACCAAGACGATCCCGGGTCCTCGATCGGATTGCCCGGTGACCCCAACCGTGACGGCGTATCCGAACTGCGCCCAGACATGCGTTGGCGGGTGTGGTACCTTCGTGGGTGTTTCCAACAACCATCGAAGCATGTGGGCGGCTAACAAATCTGTAGACGGAGACAGTAACGGCATCTGAGACGTGCCTGGCCGCTTCAAGCCGTACGATCACATCTTCTTCTTTTGCCTCTTCGCGACCCGCCATTGAACATCGAATTGCGCTGCTGACTTGACCGCGTTGAAGAAACAGATATTCCAACTACGAGTGTCAACCCTGGCGGCCCCATAATCCGCCCCAGCTCTTGCTTCACCTACACAACCGAGCTTCGACCGACGCTGTGTCCTCAGGTCACGGACTGCCTTACGCTGGACTGCATCATGCTCAAGACGAGTACTGTCCCCGGTCGTAACTGGAAATGCAGAGCCACTCCGACACTCACGGTGACGCCGTCTTGCTTGCCTACCTGTCCAGGTGGCTGCGCGACGGAATGGACGACCGTGAAGGCTAAGCCAACGTGATGTATCTTGCGCGAAAAGGCTTCTGCGCAGACATGTGCGCTGCGTCAAAAAAAAAATTGTTTGACTTCTTGTACATACTCGTTCCACGATAAAAACAGAATTCAGGCCGTGTGGCCATTTGCGCCATGCTACCATGCCACGCCCGACATTGGCACGTAGTAAAAGCCTTTGCTGGACTTCAACGACAGACACAGTGATTACCCCATCCTTTGAAATCGTCTGACCGATCTCCCGCTCGTCTTTAATCATGTACGTGGAAAATTCTGAGCGCTGCCAGGGCCAAAAGCCTTGCTTACCAATTCCGACTGGGCGAGCTACGTGCCAAATCCGCCTGCGGAGTCAAACGGAGATTATTAAGAAAACAAAAGGGCGCGTCTGTTAACTAAAGGCTTACTAAATTAGGATAGCCATGAAAGCATTATGCATGTCGATGTTAGAAAGTTTAGTGAACAACATTTTGGTGCCCATGACTTTACACGTCGTCACTATTTAAGCTTTGATTTCGAGCTCTCGAAACGTGTGGCTGTGATTCTGCATCGCCGCGCGAGAAAAGCCGCAATAGCTACGGCGAGCATAATGTCGCTTGCCCAGGACGGAGCGTACGGCTGGAAAGCTGTCCCTCGAGACAGTTCCGTCTTCGTACGATCCGCAGCTGGCTCCTCGGAGCCATTCGACGCCGCAACACTGGTTCTGCCATCGGACTCGGTCTCCCAAAGACTTCTTGAATACGCGCGAGAGAAGCTGAGTCCCAAGACCTTCAACCACAGTGTCCGGATCTATTTGTACGGCTACATAATCGCAACACAGCACTTTCCAGATCTCCTTGAGCTGCCGTATTTCACCGAGACGTACTTCGCCTCGTGCATGCTTCATGACATCGGCACCACAGACGAAAACATAGCCAGCACCAAGATGAGTTTCGAGTTCAAGGGTGCCATGATTGCCATGGAGATTTTAAGAGGTGCAGGTGCAAGCGAGGATCTGGTTGAGCAAGTGGGAGAGACTATCATCCGGCACCAGGACGTTGGCGAGACGGGCACGCAGACCGCTGTCAGCGGACTCATACATGTCACCACTCTTCTGGGTAATGTCTTTAGTGGTCTCGACTTCTATGAGAGTTCTAATGCCAAGCCAGATAATGCAGGGGCTCATCCGCAGCTTGTCCACAAGGAGACCATTGAATCGGTCGTCAAAGCATACCCACGCAATAAGTGGACGTCATGTTTCGCGGAGACCATTCGCAGAGAGCTTGAGCTTAAGCCATGGGCACACAGCAGTCACATCGAGGGATTCGCAGAAAAGGTCGAGGCCAATAAGCTGATGGAGCCCTATGACTAGTCTTCGACGGTGCCATCGGCGTCCGCGGCAACTTTATCTCGACCAAGTCTCGGAAGTTTGATTGGATAAATGAGCAGATTGACGACAATAAAAAACATGATGGCAGAAACGAAGGCCCATCGAAGCGCGGCCTCGTATGCTTGTATGACTATCACAGACATTAGATATAATTCGAATTCGACGAGTGCTTCCAAACCTTGAGCTCGATGGGTGCTGTCCAAGTCGAAGATCGCCCGAACTTCTTTCCGTACTCGTTGAATGATCTATATCAACTTAAGTTGAATTGCGGTTGAATATTGTGGCGAATCACGTACCTCAGCTTTGTCTGGACCTGTCACAAACTGTTCGAGGTACGCGATCAAAGCGTTTTGCAGTATCAGGCTGCTGATCGCAACGCCCATGACCGAGCCAAGGCTTCGGAAAACGCCAAGAGCAGCCGTGACGACCGCCTGATCGGCCTTGCTACTTATGGCCAGCAACGACATTGTCGTGGCAGGAAACATGAAGCCCTGCCCCATGCTTGGGGGTATTACGAAAATGGTGACCAACCACGTCGGAATCCCCTTCCAAAGTGAAGAGAGGCATATGCTGCCAAGGAGCATCGACACAGCACCAACTATTTGAGACACTTTGAGACGGCCAGTTACATTGATGAAGAATCCGGTCGAAACGGCGCAAAGAGTGAGGATGAAGGATGGGGCCGCCAGTCGGAAGCCTGACACGGAAGCAGAATCGAGCTTCACCGCTTGGAAGTACAGAGGGGCGTTGAATATGACGGTCAATATGCCGATCTGGGCGAAGAAGTTGGAGAACAGGAGGTTGGCCTTTGGGACCGTGCTGAGCAGGCCCAAGGGCATGACTGGTAGTCTAGCTTTACGCTCAACGACGACGAGCGCGATGCTAGAAACTATGGAGAGAACAAGAGACGCTATAATCACAGGATGCCTCCAGGGCAGAACGTTGCCTCCCAAGTTTAAACCGAGGATGAGGCATGTCGTCGTCGTGCTCATCAGGAGAGACCCGGCGACGTCAAAATCTCGGAAATTCTCGTACCACCTCTGGCCGGAGTTCTTCGCTAAGGCCGGGCCCAGATCGCCGGGCACCGTCAGAATACCCACGAATAGAATTAACGCAATGGGCAGAACTTGGATGCCAAACGCCCAGCGCCAGCCCAGTCTGTCACACAGGAAGCCCCCAAAGGCTGCCCCACAGGCTGATCCTAGGCCGTAGAAAATATTGATGTAAGATTGATAGACGCCCCTGTGCTCAATCTTTATCAGGTCGTTTGTGATAATAGAGGCCTGCGTATGTTAGCTCATCAATCTCTGCAATGTGCGCAGGAGACGCCGTCACCAGTCCTGTAATGCCTGCGGCGCCCAGCCCGCAGAATGCCCGCGCGATGATGAAGCTGGACATACTTTGCGCGAGACCACACCAGGCCGTCGTCGCTCCGAACACGGCCAGCGCAAACACGTACAAGATCTTCCGTCCAAAGGTGTCAGAGAGGCGTCCGTACAGCGGCTGGAACGTCGTGGACGTCAACATGAACGCCGTGCTCAACCACGAGGCCGAGTTGGAAGAGTGGAAGTAGCTCGTGATGACGGGGTGACTCGATGCCATAAGTGTGCTATCGAATGTGGCCACAAAGTAGACGGTCAGAATAGGGATGTACATGGTCCAGAACTGGCCTGGGGTCAGATCGATCAGGTACGGCGTGTCAGATGGTGCATCTTTGCTCTGTGACGTGATGTCCTCGCTGTTTACTTGCGTGCCTGCGTCCGGAGCGAGCCAATGCGTGGGTGATATCGTCCTTGCTAGGGCCTGGCCTTCCTCCACGCTCGATCTCCTCCGGCAAGACTTCGCCAGGAGCGGCGTTTGCTCGTTCACCATGTCGGCCTGCTGGAGACAGTTCCCCAGGCGAAGGCTCTCAGGGGATGTTCGAGCCGGGCGCTAGAACGTACTCTGCATAAAGACGCCGCGCGAATGTACGAGCCAATGCAACGAAAACAATGGCACTAAGACGGACCGCGTACCACAAACTGGACGGCGTGATATCACGTGTGAAATCCGCACAGGTTGGGGAACGTAGAAACTTTATGAGGAAGGGAAGTATTCCGCGATCACGCCGACATCGGTCGGACTTGACAGTCCGAAGTGATTATCTACGGCATAGACAAGGCATATAACTTAGTAGCGTTACATAAAATAAACCGAATAAAGACCAGTGGTGTGTGCAGGCTCGAGAGTTTCCGACTCTTCGACCAAAGCTTGCCTTTGCATCATTTTCTTTTTGAAAACATTGTCTGGAGAGCCATGCCCAGCCCGCCGTTGCGAATTGCCATCCTTGAGTGCGATACACCACGAGCCCAGACCCAGGCAAAGTACGGGGGATATGGCGGTGTTTTCAAGCAGATGCTTGAGCGGGGCGCCGAAGACCTTGGCCATCCCGGCCTAAGTGCCAGCGAAGGTATCGAACTGAGCATGTACAAGGTCGAAGAGGAGCAGTACCCGAATCTGGACGACATAGATGCGATCCTCATCACAGGCTCAAGTACGTCGCTTCCACCTCTGCCCGCACCTGGTGCTGTTGCGCACCGCGGTCGAGCATCGTGACGGAAGAAGAGCCGTTTGCGTGGCTGACAATCGTAAACTGCGCAGAGCATGACTCGTTCGCCGACACGCCGTGGATCCAGAAGCTGGTTGCGTTTACGAAGAGCGTGCTGGATCACGAGCGCGTGCGGGCGATAGGCGTGTGCTTTGGACACCAGATCATCGCACGAGCCTTGGGCCAGCGCGTCGACCGCGGCACAAAGGGCTGGGAACTATCCGTCGTGCCCATCGAGCTGTCGGCAAAAGGCAAGGAGCTCTTCAAAGTGGACAACCTGGTAGGTCGACTCCCATCGCCCATCTGTTCTCTTGCCTCGCTTGCGATGTCAGTTCGTGGCTAACTGGGGTGAAAACGCGCCAGTCCATCTGGCAAATGCACAAGGACGAAGTCTACGGCATCCCGCCCGGCGTGGAACAGCTTGCCTCGACCGCGATATGCGACAACCAAGGCATGTACAAGGCCAAGAGCTTCATCACAGTGCAAGGCCACCCGGAGTTCACGAGGGAGATCGAGGAGGAGATCATCACGGGAAGGTACCGGGAAGGCGTCTTTACGGAGGACATGTACACCGATGCGATGCAGAGACTGCAGGACAAAGACGACGGGCTCATTGTCGCACAGGCGTTTTTGAGATTTCTGCTCGAGGACTAAGGTCGGCTGCCGGGCAGAGCGAGGACGTGTTGGCGATCGCGACGTTGAGCGTCTCCGGAGCGTGGCCGTCTGGCACGTTGCGTCGCCTGGGACATGATGCCCCCCCGAGGTAGAAGGTAGATCTGATGTGTACATACATAGAGCGTGGGGTTTTACCTTTGGCCATCGAGCGCGAAGAATCCTGTTGCAGCGCCTGGCGCACATGAAGCTGTGCCGCCGTGGACGGCAAAACACCGACGTTGTATCGCGTCTGGGATCTAGCATGTCCTCTCTCGTTGCCCGCCGTCCCACCAACGCAACGTTGCCGGGCGACCAGCTGGGAAGTTCCGCAACGGGGCAAGGCAATGTCGCATGCGGGGACGACGATCTGTTTGGTGAGCGTGAGGCACGACAAGGCGGAAGCGAGAGCGCGGCCGTCTTTGTCGTGGAGCGGCAGCACAGCGGACGTGCGCATACCCGTGGCGTGTCCTTCGCTGCCAGCACGGTGGACCATCGCACCGCCGTGCCAGCAGAAAAGTCATACAGCCGAGACTTTTGCTCGCGGCGGCGATTTCGATCTTGTTCGTCTGTTTCTAGAAGTGCGCCAGTGGCGTCCTCGCTAAAATTAGCTCGCCCGCTCGGCGCCACCCAGACTCGCATTCCCTTGCCCAAGCGTACGCGGCGCGGATCGACAATCGGCGTCGTAACCTTTTCCCTATCTCTGGTCCCCCATCACTCAACTTTTTCGTCCCTCGCCCGCGCCGGTTCTCATCGCATTCGCCTTCCAGTCGATGCTTGCGACAGCCCCTCGTTTCTCTTCTTCGGTCGCGCTCTAGATACTCTCCTATCGTCTTTGTAATTCTCTCCTTTTGCCCTTATCTAATTCCGCTCGCGCGACCATCATGGGAAAGTGTACGTTGTCCCCTTCGGACCACCCCCGCGAGCTGTTGTTGTGGGGCTGGCTGCTGACAATCTGGGTGTGATACAGGGCGATATGGTGTCATTCTTGATGCTGGCTCATCGGTGAGCGTCATACAGGTGCGACTTGGAGGAAGCCGTGGACACTAACGCACAGTCGAGGGGACACGCGTCTACGTTTACAAGTGGCTCAATGCTGCCCGGGCGCGAGCAGACGCCGTCGAGGGCGAGCTCAAGACATTACCAGAGTTGATCACGCACAAATCTTGGACTAAAAAGACGCATCCTGGTACGTTGGGAGCAAGGCGACAGACGATTGGAGCTTGCGATCAAGCTCGCTGACGAGGCGCACCGTAGGCGTGTCGACCTTTGGCGACAAACCAGAACGCGTCGGAGAAGACCATCTTCAACCTCTAATCGACCATGCGCTCAAGCACGTACCCAAAAGTGAGGTTGAACACACCCCGTTTTTCCTTCTCGCCACGGCCGGCATGCGCCTGCTGCCGGACCACCAGCGCACAGCTGTACTAGATTCCATATGCACTTACGTGCAAACGAACACCAATTTCCAGGTGCCCGACTGCGATCTCCACATACAAGTCATTCCCGGAGCTACAGAGGGGCTGTATGGATGGGTTGCTGCGAACTACCTCTTGGGCGGTTTCGACTACCCCCAAGATCACGATCACGGCAAGGGCCATCACACCTACGGCTTTCTGGACATGGGCGGCGCGAGCGCGCAGATAGCGTTTGCCCCTAATGCGACGGAGGCGGAGAAGCATGCAAACGATCTAACGCTGTTACGGCTGCGGACGCTGGATGGATCGCCTCAAGAGCATAGAGTCTTCGTAACGACATGGTTGGGGTTTGGAGCAAACGAAGCCAGGCGGAGATACGTGGACGCGCTCAAAGAGTCGGTGGGGCCTCAGGCAAAGGAGCTTCCGGACCCGTGTCTGCCGACGGGACTGAAGGCTACGTTGGCAGGCACGCCGATCGTCCCTGGATCTCCAGAGGAGGCCGGTCACGAGCCTCATCTACTGGGCACGGGCAAGTTCGACGAATGTATCCGACAGACGTACCCATTGCTCGAGAAAGACAAACCGTGCAACGACAATCCTTGCCTGCTCGGTGGAACGCACGTGCCGGCCATCGATTTTGAAGTCAACCACTTTGTTGGCGTGTCCGAGTACTGGCACACAACGCATTCCATATTCGAGATGGATCACGACAACAAGGCATACGACTTCCACACGTATCAGACACGCATCAATGCGTTCTGCAGCCAGCCGTGGGAGGACATCGTGGCGGGCGTGGAGAAGCACAAATGGGGGAAGAAGGTAGACGAGAAGACGGCCGAGGAAGTGTGTTTCAAAGCCTCTTGGCTGATCAACATGCTGCACGAAGGCATTGGGGTCCCAAGAGTCGGGCTTGAGATGGCGAAGGGGGGCAGTGGACGAAATGAGACGACAAAGCAGCTTATTGAAGGGGCGAAAAGTAAGGGCTTTCTAGACCCGTTTCAGGCAGTCGACAAGATCGAAGGCACCGAGGTGTCGTGGACGCTCGGCAAGATGGTCTTGTACGCCGCGTCGCAGATTCCGCCCTCCCACGACGACCTGCCTGTGGGCTTTGGAAGCAATATACCTGGTGTTGCGTTGCCGAAGGACTTCCAGCAGCCGGGCGGCAGTTCCTTTAATCTTCCTGATGATCTTACAGATCACGGGTTTTCCGATGAGACGGACTTCCCTTCGACTGTGGAAGGAGAAGAGGTTGACTGGCATGAAGCCCTGTTCCGCGATTCCCCTCGCCGCATACCGGGTTTCCTGCTCTTCATGTTGATCCTCGTCTTCCTCGTCTTCCTACTCTGTGGCCGCGAGCGTCGCGCGACTCTCATCTCTAAGACGCGCCGTATCCTCGGTCTCGGCAAAGGCTCACCGCTACTGGGAGGCCGGCTCGGCAAGTACGATCGCGTAATGCGCGACGATCCCGAGGCGGCAGGCGAATTTGAGCTGGGCGACGGGACGTACGACGACGACAGTGATGACGAGGGGAGCGTCGGCGCAACGAGCTCGAGGGCAGCGAAGGTGCCAGGTTGGGCCACGCCAACCATGGAGGGCGGTGTAGGTGGTCTAGCCTCGCCCGGAAAAGGCCTCGGGCTGGGAATCAAACCTTTTGGCGTCCAAGGCGTTGTGAGCAGGACAGAGAGCAGGGAGCGGTTAAGTCGAAGTGGCAGTCCAAGGGCAGGTTTTAGAACGAGCAAAGACGCTCTTGATTAACACGCTTGGGGGGCAAGTTATCTTTGTACATACGACTACCATTCTTGTCAAGCGAATACATAATGTGAACATGACTTCTTCATGACCTGAGCCACTTTTGCGTGAGCGTGCCATGGCCTCGTTCATGAACGGTAAGCGTAGCCGCAACAAGCTTTCTCTTCTAATCTAGCTCCCTCGTGAATCGTGTGATGGTCATCCATCGTGACACCTACGAGGGGTGCAAGCGTGGTAGCGATGGCAGCGACGAAGCACAACACCGCGCGTAGCCACAAATCGCACTTCACACAGCCCACCCAGATTTGCCAAGGAGACATGGACCGGGCGTTCGAGCTGAGACCAGAAATTCGGTGAAAACGCTTTTGCGACCAGGGAACCTCTGTTCGAGGTAGTCCTCACTCTATGTTTGTTTCGGTCGAAGCTCAAAATACGAAGAGGTTCGGACAGGTAGTCCTCCCAAAAGTCCTTCCCGCAAGGCTCTAGCGGTCACCCGACCTCGAGCCGAATCGCTCTCCTTCATCGCACATGCGGGATCGGCAGAGCAAGGCTTCGACACGTATGTACTCGTTCCGCCCCCCTTGTTCGCGTCCAGCCTGCTGTCCTATCCAAGCTCTTTCGACCAGCTCCAGGGAACCGTGGGGCGCAAACCTCTTGATACGTCCTTCAGCTAAATCGACAGACCTCTGATCAGGAAAAACAGAGCACATGGATCCGTCCAGTCGCTCCTGTGGACGAAGCGCACCGGATAGAAGCCCTGTGTAGTGCGGTGGCCTTGTTTGATTCAGTTCTGTTGTCGAGAACGAAGGTGCCCACGTCGCCAGGCTCGACAAAAAGAATATGTAGAACTCGTAGTCACTTGACGAGGCAAGAAACGGGGCGCCTTCGGATTTCTTGGGAAGGGGGAGGGGGGAAGGGTAAGTTCCTCGAGCGTGATCATCAGTCACGTTCGAATCAGGGAGGCCCCATGATGCAAAAAATAAAAGACAGCATGCGCGAAGTGTTCGAGAGCGAGCGAACTGCACGTTTTGATTCTGCAATTTGTCCTCGGCGCAAAAAAGAAGCGTGGAGTCGCTGGTGGATGATTTGGAAAAAGAATACATTTCTTCCTAGCTATGAAAGTCCGGCCATCTGTCATAAAGTCTGCCATGACGTGCTTCCCCCCCTCCCTCGTAGAACAGGCTCCGTGCAACGCCCGAAAACCGCCTGATCTATGAGAGTCCAGCGAGAATCCAGAGGGGACCTGCCGAAACGGCCATCCATGCTCTCAGATCCATTGTGTCTTTCTCAAAAGTTGTTGTTACCTCCAAGATACTGATTCGCTTCCTTGTCCACGAACGCGTCGACGGCGCCGTCTGCGCCAGATGGAACGCCCTCCTTGTTCATGAAGTTGTTCAACTCTAAGTCACAAACGTTAGTCGTGTCTCACAAGCTTTGGACTTGAACGACGGCAGGACGCACCGGTATTGATGAGGCCATCTTCTCCAGCCTGTTCGGCGCCCTTGAAGAAGCTGCCGCCAGAGTTGTTGGAGCTCTGCTGCTGGTTCTGGTACTGCGAGTTACCCTGATCGTTGTAGTTTTGGTTTTGGTCCTGGTAGCTCTGATCGTTGTAGTTCTGGTCCTGGTTCTGATCTTGTTGGTTGCGGTCTTGATTGTTGTCGTTACCCATGTTGTTTCCGCCTTGCTGCGAGAAGTTCTCGAGCGCACCCTCAGCCTGTTGAAAGAAGTTGGACATTTTCGTTTGTTGATTTGTTTTTTGTTGTCTGCAAAGGTACACAGAGATTCGAGTGGAATGTGAGCGTCTTTGGAAATTTTGATAGTCGTAACAGCAAGCCTGGCCCTATTTATGCCAGAGCAAATTGCAAGCTTTTTATCCCCCGCGGTGGAGTTCTTTTCGTCGAGAAGTCTAGACATGACAGATCCAGCTGAGTTGACGGTAGAGTTATGCATGAGATCATGCGCGCAGCACATGCTAGTCTAAAACCGCGCTGGTCTGCGTAAACCACGCAACTGGCTATACTGTCATTGATCAGAACCTGCAGCGCAGCGGCGCTAGCCAATGTCAAGCCTTACGACGGTACGATAAGCATTGCGAAGCTCACTTGGCACTAAGACTCGTTCGTTAGCGAACTGCACAAGTTGCCCTGACTGTGAGGTCATCGCCGCGACCTAGATTCTGCGCCTCCGTTACACGTTCCGCAATGGTTGCGGCCGAACATTTGACGGGTACGTCGAGCGTGTGTGCGTCTCAATTCATATTACATATCTGTTTCCGAAATTGTAATCTTAGGTCTTTCTTCACTCCGTTTTGCTGGCACGACCGGGTGCAAGTCGGCATTTTCCATAGTGCGCAGCTCTCCAGATGGAACATTGGATGACCTTCAAGTGCAGCAGATTCATCAAGAGTCTGCCTCGTTGACACTTAGCTTTTCTTTGGGAATAAAATGATGATAATAACTTAACCGGCGTTATTCGTCCAGGATCAATTTTTGAGATTGACCACTTGAAAAACTACCTGCCCACGATCCAAGGCCTCTGCCAATCACAGGCTCAGGTTTCTCACGCGCGAAATTCGCCTGTCTTACAACTGACAATATTCGAGCCTCTGAGCTGGGAGAAGAGAAGCATTTACTACAAAAGATAGAATCTTGGCTTCTAATTACGAACTTTAGCAGCGAAACAAGCAGATGGAAGATGGTAACATGGACTTGATGTAATCGTGGTGTTTATAGACCATACGTTTCATGACTGATTCGGAGTGAGGTCCATAGCATTGTTCTTCAATATTTGCAGATCGATATTTAAGACATAGAAGTCTTGATTCGAGCCTAATCGCTATTAGGCAGTTGTTATGACAAGCTACTGCATCCTAAAGAAATTGCGATCGCGAGACAAGCCGAATAGCTCAAATGATAGACATCCACTCTACTGGCTTACCCTTTATCTCATGCCACCAGAAATGAATAAACCCATAGGGATCATGGACTGGAGTTATCCGAAAGCAATCTGACCAACTATCTGAGAGCTAATCTTTCCTGTTCTTTGTGAATCGGGAACCATTAAAGGCATACATTTAAGTCTCCTTTCCCCTTGTACAGGATTATTTATCTCAATGAAGAAGAGAATATAAACCTTTCCATCACATAGAAGGAAAAATAATTTAAGAGTAAAAGGAAGGCACCAATGCCGAGTGATTGATGTTCGAACGCTGATGAATCGAGTATGGAAGGCATAGATGAGTACATATTCTTCATTCAGCCGGTTTGCGAAGTCTTACTCGGGAAGATGTGCCGAAACGAGCAATAATGTGGAGAATGTGGAGGCATGGATCAAGAGTCAGCCTTGCAAAGTTACCAAACGTGAAGGACTGATCCATGGATTCGCGAAACCAAAACCAAGATTCCAACCATGATTGAAGAGAGATGACACTATTTAAAGAATTGAAGCTTGCGCTGGGCCTTGAAAATTAACCATATCTTTCTTTGGGTCTTCTTACGTTTTAGAGGCTAACTCCCGATAAGAACGGGCACATACCTAGAACAGGCTTCTTAAGACACCTTCGTCAACGATGCATTTTTTCAAGAGCTTCACCATATTCCTCTCAGCATTACAGCCGAGTCGTACAACCGCCATCTTCTCAAAGGAAGCGAGAAGCCCATCGTTGTTGTCAGTTCCTACAATCTCGAGTAGAGATGAGACAGAACCGGAATGTACCATTTCTTGCGAGACCAAACCGAACCTGTTGGCGACGAACTACACTGTCTCAGTGAATTGCCCCAGGCCTACGTCGCTCAATAAACGTCTTCAGATCTTGAACAGCCTCAATCATACCTTAAATGCGTTCTGCACGGTAGAGAACTTAGGCCTCGACCCAGAAGCGAACGTGCTAAAGGATTTTATCTGGACCATGACTTGGAGCGGCTACGCAGCGTTATTCGGGAAAGGGGACCTGACTCATCCGGAAAGCGATTACACAGTGGATGACGTATTGGATTGGTGGATGAAGGGGATCTGGGGGAGCAATGCCATTTACTTGAGATGTGTAGACGGGAAGCAAGAATAGTCGCAAAACGACTCGACCAACAGCGCAGTATAACCGAACTGATGGGTCGGCTGTCAGTCTTCTAGTAGTGAAAGAATTTTAGTCCCTCAGTTACATGACAAATATTCCTTCTCCAGACTCTGTTACCATGTCGAATAGAATTAGGTGCTAGATGATCAAGTGGTTCCTGGCATCTTCGTTACCGTCGCCATCACTTTGACTCTCTTTATCCATTCTTTCCTTCATCTCCGCCCATACTAGTCTCGCCTTCTCCGCCTCTTTGTGCGCACAACCCAGCAACGCAACTTCATCAGTCCATTCTATCCCTTTAAACTTCTTCCTACAGAGTTCATTCGTCAGGAACGTAGCAAACGAGCAGTATATCCTTGAAATCGAGTCCAAAATCCAGATTGCGTCAACTTTGTCGCGAAATTCGTCCTTCGCTCCGAGTCTTTGAATAGATGCCCGCATCTTCATGCCGATAAAGCAGTCTTCTAAAATGTAGTCCTCAAGCCAGAATGTGTATGTTGCGTTGCATTCGATCTCAGGAAGGAGGCTGTGCACGCTGTCCCATTCTTCTTCCATAGGTAGGTGCCAGTAATTACAGATCAATTTACCGATGGGTGCTGCATGGACTTGTTTGGCATTTAAACCAGATGTTTCGTAAAACTTGCGAGTCTCGTCGGTGGCACGTTCGATGTCGACAACGTCCAAAGTGGCGATTCGCTTATCCGTGAATTTTAAGCCGGACAAAGGGCCTGGATCGGTTCCTATCTCTGGAAATGCTACGTTGAATAGTGTGTCTTCAGCTAATGCCGTGAATCCAGCACCTACGATGACCCTAGCCTCAAAATATGGCATATTTTGATCCCAATCCTCGCTGTACTGTGCCCACGACACATCGTAACCGAAAACAGATTGCCACTCGCCACCGAAGAGTACAGAGCAAGCCTTGTTGAACGGAGAAGGAAAGTGATTAGATAGTCTGCTGATGGTCTTCAGCTGCTGGCGTGCTTCCTCGCTAACGCTACGTGCTGCAAGAATATCTTCTTTGTACTCCGGACAGACATTGTGGTAAAGCAGATAGTTGTAAAAGCTGGTGAGCACATTGCACTGATTGTCTATCTTCACCTCATTACGAGGGGTTTCATCATCAAGGTCCTCAGCGAAATAAGTCGACCTAAGATTATCCATAGTTAGCATAAGAACTTTACAGATCACATTTCACGGGGGGAATAACACACAAGTATGCCTTTACTACGCCCGCAAAGTCAATAACCCATTTAGAGTCATCGAGTTTGTCGACCCAATCGACGTCGTAACTTGCGCACAACTCGAGTTTATCATGCTTGCTTATCTCCTCATTAGCCTTGATCTGCTTCTTGCTTTCACCCTGGCCGATGCGGCTTGCTGGATAGACACCGCCGTATTGAAGGAAGTCGCCAAAACATTTCTGGTACTGCTGAGTAAACTTGCGACGGCCAATAAAGCGCTCGATAGCGAATCCTATGCGGCTATGATGGATTAGTTTGACACTAACTGAATAAAGAGTGCAAGGTAGATTGCCTTGGCGCATCATTTGTTCTAGAATTAGATAAATTAGAGCTCTCTGTATGATACAATTTTGGCGGAGTCTTACTCATCATAAAGTTCACACTCTTCGTCGTATTCCTTCGCTGTCATAGGTGAGTCTGCAAAATACTCCTCAAACCCTGTACCAGCACTCTTCTGTAACGACATCAGCGCCTTTGCCTTGAATATAATCGAATAAACATACCTTGAATGTTCCAGCCACTATTCCAGGGGGTGCAGGAACCAAAACCATTTTCCATCCTCTATCGGCAACATCCCTGTGCTCTGCGCCATCTTTTCTCCATGTTCCATTGTCATTGTCACTGTCATAAACAAAGGGCACCTTTCTACGAATATGGTCCTTGTCGACGATATCAACAACTTCGGAATCTTGCAGCGCATGCATGATTTGCCATGTTGATGGTTTGGGATCGCACACAATATTCAGTCTAGGCTTGAGCTTGCCGACATTCACGGCTGAGTTTGGGCCCTTGGAGTGCAGGTGGTTACACATAGCAATGTCCTTGTGCAGATTTTGATCCGAGAACCACCAATGGACCTGGATATCGTGTTAGTCGCCATGTGCAACAGATCAGACAGTGTGTGTCATGCCTTCTCACGTATCTTATTGGCCTGTGGGTGCGGCTCTCTCTTGGAGACGGGTTCATTTGGTGCCAGCGTTGCGATCAGCTGGCTGTTGAGTGGGTCCATGTTGTGCAACGACCCAGCTCAAGATGATCTAAGTGCGGCGACTAACACGGTCTCTTGCAAAGTGAAGGAAGGTAGTTGAGGGAATAGTTTGAGTTGCACAGTGTTGAGAGTACGAGAAGTCGAAGACTTGTACAGAAAAAGACGGTTTGTCACGGCTGAGTTGATAACCAAAACCTTTGAAAAGCTGATCAGGTAACTTCGTTCAGACCAAACAATGTGTATCAGGACAACACCCAACCATCATTCTGAAGGCAATTTATAGCTTGACATTTCATCGCTTTGCGCTGTTCGTTTTGGCCCGGCGATGGGTCTCTTTTTCCATGACTTTCCTAAGCCACATGGGTATCGTTCGGAACGAGTACAACTTGCCAGCGTCCGACAAACATCTCATCCGGTAAGTCTTCTTACGGCAGGATCCTATCATGGCTTGATTTGGGTACTTGACTGGTACCGCAGCATGGAAGGAATACGATGGTTTTCTTCACAGCTTGGACATTAATCGAAGAAGCAAAGGGACGGTCAGCACAGCGGACGGCGAGTCATTCACGGAGCACAACGATAGTCGGGAGGAGTGAAACACGGCCACGGCCACGTCAAGCAACGACGAGGAAACGTAAGGCCTTCAACAGACGTGTCGCGAGCTGGCTGTGAGCGCAATTTCTGGATCAAAGTTGGGTCCTCTTCCGGTCCTCCAATTCCGCTCCGCCGCCAAGAAGGTCCCTGATCCCTGTCCCTGACGACATTCCGCCAGAAAGGTTGACAAGTTTGTGCATGCCGGGCGTGATGTGGACTGTACAGACCCCCAATGACTCTCTGGTACAACTGACACGCTCCTTTCATTTTCATTTCTCTTCCTCTCTTCCATCTCTACTGCTGCCTCACATATTCGTTCCTTACTATGACTAGCAGACACATCGATCCCACCACGTTAGCGTCCTTTGCTGGCGCCGCGGCCGGCCAGTACGTATTTGTCGCTCTACATCCTTCTGATTCGGGCAATGGACTGAGCAGGCTGACCGGATTGACAGTGAGGGAGTGCTCTCCGATGCCAGTGGCGACCTGGTGATTAAACCATGTACGCCCGCTGAAGTCGCCTTTTACGAAGTCGTCAACGCTTCGCATCCGGAACTCGCCTTCTACCTCCCCAGATTCATGGGCACGCTGCAATTCGGTGATCGAAGACCAGCTGCGGTATCTCTTCCTGCAAACAGTGCATCTGGAACACCTCAAGCGAATACAGATGTGATTGAGGCCCATGTCATCAATCTTCCAGCTACCCACGCACCTTCAACGTCGATTCCACCTTCAGAAATCTCACCTAGTGCGTCCGAGGTCCAAAGCACACCTGCCTCTTCGTCCTCCACTTCAGGCACAGCAGCTACTCTTAGTCTTGCGGATCCAGGTCCCTTGAAGGGTAAAAAGCTTGACACAGATCTGCACATTGTCCTTGAGAACGTATCCGCTGGGTTTACGCAGCCCAACATATTAGACCTGAAACTCGGGGCGCGCTTGTGGGACGAGGCCGCCAAGCCGGAGAAGCGGGCACGACTAGACAAAGTCGCCAGCGAGACAACAAGTGGTAGTTTGGGCTTTCGCATCGCAGGCATGCGCGTATGGCAAGGAGAGGCGAAACCGGTGCCGCCAGCTCCCGGAGTGGAGAGGTTGGAGGACGTTGTGAGTGGGGACCGGGAAGTCAAGAGCCAGCATTGGTCGATAGATAAGGAAACCAACCATAAGAGCTACAACAAATTCTACGGGCGCACCTTCACGGCGGATAATGTACTTCAGGGCTTCAAAGAATACTTTCTCGTGCCGTCCGCGGGCATTACTGAGGACCACGCGCGCATCGTATTGTGGAATTTTTTGTCGGAGCTCAGGGATATAGAGCAGATATTGCAGTCCAAGGAGAGCAGAATGTACTCTTCATCACTGTTGTTCGTGTATGAGGGAAACCCTGAGGCATTTCAGAGAGCGCTTGACGCCATCACGAATGCTCCAGTGCCTAAGCGCAAAACCAACGAGTCGAATGAGGAGGGAGAAGGAGACGACGACGAGGGAGAGGAGTATGATGACGACGAAGAAGAAGATCTGCCCAAAGTGCACGCAGTGAAGTTGATTGATTTTGCACACGCCAAGATCGAGGACGGGCTTGGTCCAGACGAAAACATGCTGGCCGGAGTGAGAAGCACAATCAGGATTTTGGAAACCCTGCTCAAGGAGATCTCTGCTTGATCTGCTTGGAATTGGATGGATACGACCGGCGATTTTTATTAGAGATTTACAGTGATACCCCCACAGCAAGGCTGGCTCTTGCTTTGCCCTCAATTGAAAGAGTTGCAGTTCTGATGGCAAAGGATGCGTCTGTCCATGTGCACGCGCGAGCGCTACATGCCATTCCCATCTTCATTTGCTAAAAATTTACCTCCTTGGTCAGCTACAGAGCCGATGTTTCTTTGGCACAAATTGTACAGTACTCACTACAAGACGTTATGCTATAAACGGTCCGCAGAGCGAACGTATAACGCGTTGTCTTCGATTCAAGCTGCTCTACCCCATAGGCGTGCAGCACCTCATTCGCAAGGTCTCCTCTCGCCTTATGCGAAGGAATATACGTGTACTCTGAAGATTTTCCGCCGAATTGGAGATGCTTCGAAGACCAACATGACCTCACCACGCTTGTCACACCGTCTGGCTCATGCTCTTCCCCTTCTCACTCTTGTAAATAGTTCTGATCTTTGAATTCTCGGTCTCTAGAATTCTTCCAATGACAGATAGAAATTTATCGAATTCTATTGAACGAATTCGGCCCAGAATGAGATGCCAATGAAATATTGACCTGCTCATATCAATGTATGCTCTATGAGTTCCAATGAGTGAATGGACAAGTGTATAAACACGTTGGCTATGGTGAAAATATGTGCCACATTGGCATGATTTAAATGGTTTCTTTCAGCGGCGAGCAGAGGATATTTGCAGTTATTTTGTCATGGAAAACGGTGAGCTGAAGGTTCTCGTTCGACGCTAGTGGATTTTCTATTGGTGTTCAGGGTGGGAAAGGCATCAGCCACCTTGTGCTAATGCCCCAAAGATAGGATCAGGAGCTGTTTCAAGAAAGAATCCATCTGTCAAGCGATAGAGAACATAGCATTTTTCATTCGAAGAACGAATCGTCTCGTACATTTTTAAACTCATTTTTAGCTAGACGTGGAAGCAAGCTGCTAGACATGACCTCATAAGTATAAAACCATATAATCGTTTCAACATGTCATTATAAGCGCGCTAGGCGAGATCGCCATTTGTCTTTGTTTGATCTTCATCATTAGGTTAGAGCGTTAGTCTTCATACTTGGGGGTCTAACCTTTAAGATACATCCACTTCAGATCATCTCGATCCAGATCGTCAAGCGCAACGTCGATGTAGCCTTCTTTGTCCACATAACGTGGAACGATACCTAAAGCACGGCCTGGGACAGTCAGATTACGATTTTACAGATGATGACCAAGTTTGATCAAGCGTTCTCACCGTTTATGCTATCGTCAGCAGCCAAGCGAAGGCACGCCTTGACGGCATCCTCAAGGTGCGCCCAGTCAGATCCCCGACTCTTCATGTTGGCTTCCATGATTGGTTTAACTTCATCTGGAATAATTGGCGTCGGAATAGCCCTAGAATGTCTTCTTAGAAATCCCCGTTTGAGTTCGTAACAAATGCGTTTTCAGCCTACCATGGTGCCAGCAAATTACAGCGGGCGAGATCCGACTTTCGTAAGTTACAAAGCATACCCCGCACGCTATACTTCGATGCATTGTACTGTGTCGCTCCAGGAAGGTCTAGGTAGCCTGCGAGACTGGCCTTGAGGATCAAGACCTTGTCGCGAGATTGGTCACCCTTGTTAAAGTAGTGGCGTGCGAGCTTCACCGTGTATGCTACACCAATGGTATTCACCTGGATTATCTTAAGCTCTGGCTTAGTTGGTTCTTCAGCATCATCGAGTTGAAACAGATCATCATGGATAGCAATTCCAGCATTGGCTACGACAATGTCGATAGATTTGCTTGGAGAGTTGGCGAAGGCAGCCTTGAAGCCTTGGAGCTGTTGATCCCAATTGGTCATGTCAGCATGGCAATATTGGTAACTACGTGGGATCAGAAACTAGTTCCACAAGTTTGAAAAGGCGAATTACTTCGGATTTCCCTCGTGGGCTTGGTTTGGCTTCAGATCCAAATTTGTGACATATGCACCCGCGTCCAGAAAACCCTGGACATACCCAGCCCCGAGACCACTACTTCCTAATATTATAGAAACACAAATTAATTGGCTGACCTGGAGTAATTTGGGGGTTTTCGATACCTCCGGTAACAACTACGCTGCGACTCTTGAGTTTACTTGCATCTACCGGAACTTTATTGTCCACCTTCTTTGCGGTCCAGTATTCATATATTTGAACCATGATGATAATTTCGCCTTGAAAACAGTCTAGGATAGTTCAGTTTTTTGTTGCGGCCTAAATTAATGGTACAAATGTCAAGTACATATAGCTAGGCAAGGCTGAGGCGGACGAAGAAATGCGGGGAAGTTGTGCAAGTCAGCTTAGTCCGTGGATATACGCGAACCCGAAAAAGCCGAGCAAAGAGGGGAGAAAAGGCCCAGATCAAAGATCAAATATAATTTTAGTTGATAGTTTTTATTTTTTTTAAAAAAAAAATTTCTGCCGGGTACAGTCGTCTGGTGCTTTATGTCACTCCCTGGTGAAGAATTTCATGTTCCATATAGCGCAATGTTGATTACCGCTCACGATCTTTCTCGATGCGGAGTTGAGGATTAGTTTTTACACCTTTGGTCCTATTCCTGCGATTATCATCCAATCACCTCAGTCATTTGAGACTTCTGATACTCTGTAAATATGTCATCCATTGACAAGATTATGAAATTATAATCCTTTACTCGTATTGCTCCTGCGGATGTCTATATGCGGCAACTTGAAGCGCGAAGCTCAAATAGTTGAATGGTGGGGTCATTTCGAAAGTGAATATACCTCGGCCTGCATACTTCCCGCAAGCAGATCTTGGTGGAAATTCTGTTTTCTTTGCAGTCATTAACTCTAAATATTTGCATTTGTGATCGAGACGTTAATCTTAAGTTAAACTTCTGTGGCTCAACGTCTAGACATAGTATTTTGCCGTCTGGGCAGCTCGTATTGCTGTTATCCTTCTTTTTATTTGAACTCCGTTGGTCCCATCCACGACTTCTTTCTAAAACCTGCTTCATCATTGGTTGGAATCATCGTATTACCCGGATGTCGAGAATCACGTGACACTACTTATTGTATTCTTGTTCTATATGGAGTTTTCCTGCATCTTTGAGAGAGGACATATGTTCTCATTCTATTATAGTGAGGTCTTAAAGGACTGTTCTAAGTAGTTCTGAGCCTTGAAGAGACCGTGTACGCCCTCTTGCCCATGTAGATATTTGCGATATCTTCGTCACTGCGCGACTTGACCTTACTTGGTTGTCTGGCTGATGTCAACTTATCTCCCTTCTTATTAAGTTTGAATGTATTTTTTTTATGAAAGCAGATGTCAAGCCGTATACTCTTGTTGTTCTGTTGCCATCAACCCTAATCCCTTCGAGAGGAGCCGAGGCCTTTTATCGTCGTCACATAAGAAACATTTTTGGGAGAGTACTGATTGAGCTGTGGCTTTTCTGCGAATCGTACCGCGCTTTGGGAGGTATGGCCCTCTAATCACGAGGAGACTGCCTTTAATGATTGGTGAATGTTTAGTGTGTGGCTGACTGCAAAATGGATAACATTACGACAGGGATTTAACTCATACTTGTGCATTCAAGTTCATTGAAAGTACGAAAATCTCGATATATGTTCCAACACTTTCAGTAAATTTTTTGTGTAGTATTAAAATGCGATGAGATCCACTGTGGTAGGGAGATAAATTGTAACATGGAAATGGTATGGTTGAGAAATATAGAAAACTCAACAACAGCACAAGTAGTCTTTACAGACCTGCAAAATTTCAAAATATTCCGAATAATTTAACTATTCTGATAGAATTTTCTCAATACACAAACTCCTTCAGATTAGACCTTGTCCAATTTCTCAAGTACAACCTTGAATTTAATACATCAGTCTATCAATTCCGTACTTCAGAACAACTGGTCGAAATCAAGAACTTGATTGTCTTCAACTAGTGACAAAACCTATTTCAACTCGTTCTAACTCATCACATCAATTTGTGTCCTTTAGGCTCTGAGAAACCCAAGACACCAGACGGCCAGGATTTATAATCAGAAAACCCAACAGAACAATAAGAATTGGGACTCCATCAAAAACATAGATGAATGATTCATGGGAATTGATGAAACCGTCACTTGGCTGAGCAAACTCTATGGCTCGGACAAGTGATCGTACCCAAATGGCAACGCTTGCCACATAAATAAGCCTGAAATATCGACGCCAGCTGATTTTAGCTCTTTGCAGTTGATGACCAACTTCTCTTTTGATTATTGATCTCAGTCTCATTGAAATGATCAAGAAGATCACGAGAGCAACCAATTGAAAGATCAGCCCTCCAAGCACCACTCTTTCTCCGATTTCGATGATCTTGGAGTCATTTGTTGCTTGCAGCCCTGATCCGGCGATCTGGCTTAGGAATGCGATGATGTCAATCATCACGTATATATTAGTCACCCATTTGAGTTTTCTCTCGTGGTGTACTGCCGTGACGACCCGCGTCAAGGCCATGTACAATGTTGCAGATATGAATGGTGGTGCTCCCATTAGCAGCAGGACTTGCATAATATAAGGATCGATATTCTTCGGTTGGCTGGCTGACCATGAGCGGCCATAGTAGCCAAATGCTTCGCCTATATGAGTGTGTTTAGCTGCTCGTTAATATGCCCAATTTTGTCCAGATCTTGCGTACATGTACCACCTATTACCATCGGAATAAAAAACCATGCGCGATATTTGATCATAAAAGCAATGAGGAGAATCGTGGCGAGCCCCATGAGAGAAGTGAATGTGTAAGCTGCCCCAAGATTAGGCTGATAATGATAGAGGGTGACATTGTGTCCGTCACTTTCAATCAACGCAGGCATCGTATTTGTTATCGAGATGAAAGAAAGGATGGCTTAGTTCTAACATGTTGGTCTCATGGGAATCCCCCTTATATCGTTTTTTGAGCTTATAAAAGGCTTGCATAGCCTGGCGGAACGCGCAGGATGTGGAGAATGCAAAGCGCTGAATTCTTTCTGATTTCGTGTTTAGGTAACTAATTGGTGTTACAGAATTTGCGAATGGAATACGTAAAATCTGTGATTGGTTATTCGGACAAATGTGGGCCCTTGCCAATATGAATCCGTCCCTGCGGTCGGTCTCGTCGTCCGTGGATCAATATTTGAAGCAAGAGAGTAGGCAAAGCGCAAGTGTATCTATAACTTTGCCAAAAAAAATATGAGGTCTAAGTTCAACAATGACAAGGCGGCCACATACGAAAAGCCGAAATGGCTGCCAAAGCTGCAAGAATAGACATGTGAAGGCAATTACGTGACCAAACTATCTAGTAGCGTATCGGCTAACTTATTTCCAGTGTGACGAAGGCCGGCCTAGCTGTCAAAAATGTAGAGACTTCGGCATACAATGTGATTTTTCGGACATCAGCTCGACTTTCAGTACTCCCGAAGGCACTCCACCACCTGACTCGATTCCTTCGAGCCAAAAAAAGCGTGGACGACCGCGAAAAGGCTGGAATTATGTGCCTCAGAATCCTGCCAATTCTTCATATTCGAACTCTTCAGAGAGTACCGGCATCTCGAATATAGACGATCTGCGGTTACTGCTTCAGTATACGGAGAAGACAGCTCTGACCTTCACCAAGGGTAGGCGAGTCACGAGAATGTGGCAATCCGCGGTACCAGAACTTGGTTTAAAACATCCATTTGTGCTCGAACTTTTGCTTTCATTCGCAGCTTTTCATCTAAGCCAGACTTCCACTGATCGGAGGGATCGTTTTTTGTACTTAGCTGAAAAGCATCAGTCAGCCGGTCTAGTGGGACTAACAGCAGCAATAGCAAACATAGGCTCTTCCAATGGTGTTGCAGTTTATGTGTCAGTCATTTTGACTTGCTACCTGCACCTTGCAAAAGGTCCGATAGACGGCGACTACCTTCTCTTCAGCAGTGAAGGATCACCTCCCTGGCGCACAATGTTCCGCGGAATAAAGTCCGTCGACGAAATTACATCAGGAAAGGCCTTTGACGTCTTGCTTAGGAATGTAGACGATTTAGTGGATGAGGAGCCTATTGAGACCGATGATAAGGTGGTTTTACACTGTCCTCAGCGACTTTGGTTTGAAGTCTTTGAAGATCTGCGACGACACCCAGCGTTTCAAGATGGAAGCAAAGTCGATGTCAAAATCAAAATTCTGGAAAGTTTGAGTGACATTTTCAAACGAACATTTGGTACAATCGAAGATCATCCCGAAAATCCCGGTGAGACTGGACATCTTCCATTTGCATGGTTGTATTCGGTCGATGATACTTTTCTTCAGCTGGCACAGGAACGCGACGCTGTCTCCCTTGTCATCTTGTCATTCTTTGCGTTACTGCTAAAGCGACTTGACTCGCATTGGTGGCTCAAAGGATGGGCGGAGCACATTGTCCTCTCCATTCGCAACTTGGTACCTAGCGAGTACCATCGATTCATAGACTGGTCAGTAGAGCAAATGCAAACTATTTGAGCTGAATCAAAGTCGTTCGTTCAGCGAGTGAGTTAATTCCATGGATTTCTACTGTACTGTTCAAATAAGATTGAATAAATCTGACGATATCACAAGCAAAAGTTTTGTGAAAGTATTGATTAGCGTTGCGTTCTATTTTGCAAGTTGCCTCCTTGACTCCAAGGGTTCCATCGAGTGACAATGCTCGAATATCAAGAGGTCAAAATTGAATTTCCTTTTCGTGCAAGAAACAGTCACTCTAAAACTTGTAACAGTTTCCGCAGCTTCTCCCCAGGACGTTGACCTTGACAACTTTTGTGATTCGTTCTGACCTACCGTTATTCCCACTTTTCCTAGTGCTCCATATCCGCAAGTACGGTTCTCCCATTGGATCAAGTCAGTGGAATAAAACTCTTGTTTTTCCTGCTTCCTCGAAATTGGAACGTTGAGAACCTTCTATGTCTTTTGTTATTAAGGTTTGGCATTTAGTCAATTTCTCTCTAGAGAGCCTATTCCATCACAACTATCACAATGGATGAGAAAGAAGCTATAAGTGGTTTCACAAGAGACAATTCCGTATGTTTATAATATGATATGATATGAGAAGTATTGATTAATTTTCAATTGCAGCTTGCAATGCTTTACGCCCCTGCAATTGCATTCGAGAGACTTTCCTTGGGTCTTGATACAATCCCACAGATCGACAAAAACCATACTTTCTCAAGTAATTCGTCAGAAATGACGTTAGATTGTTCAACTAGTCCTTCCCAATCTCGGAAACAAAGAGAATATTCATCTAATTCTACGGTCGGTTTGTCCTTAGCCCGAGAACTCGTTCTGGAATTGACTAAGAATAGCCTGTTGTGCAAGACTTTGCTCTGATCCATGATACATCAAGTCACCTTAAAGCTATGTCGCAATCGAAATCACCGTCGGAGACAATAGCAACGCATAATTCAAATAGTACCTTCGTTTCAAGTCCATCTACTACATTTCCTCAACGAATGGGATCCGCAGCAAAAAAGAAGTACAGGCAATCCCGGACATCAACGGCTTTTTCTAGGTTCATGACAGAAGTTCGCAAAAAGAAAGATAAGTAAGACAGCGGAAGAGCACCAGAAACGAGCTCTAAATCGGAATGGCTGGCAAAATTTAAACACCTCAAGTTGCTTGTTCGCAGCTGGTTAAAATCATCGAAGTGAAGAAAATGAGACGAACAAAGAAAGTCTCTTTCTGCTGAACTGTCACCGGAGCTAACGAATATTATAGTTACCTCATATCTGTGTTTTCACTATGGATATAAAGGGAGGAAAAAACAGGAAAAAGAGCTAATCAATTGAATATGAGAAGATATATCCAAGAGAAATCAAATTTAGAACCCCAACGAACAGAGTGATACAAAGCAAGCTGTACATGGAAAACTTCTCTTCAATCAACTAGTGAAGCACTCAAATCAGTGGGAGTCTTGCAACTGAGGGTTGAAGGTAGAACATCTATCTCAAAGTAGGCCTGCCTAATGAAGTTTTATGTTGAACCTTGGTAGACGAGCTACCAAAACGCTGACATAGCTCCTGAAGTGCAAGTCCGAAACTCATTCCCATCACATGTATCCGATGCAATTGAGCAGACGCAGCAAAATCTGTGCTCAGAAAAAAATTTGTATCACATCAATAATGACGTACAAAGCCTTGAGCGTACTATGCAATGCAGCATAAGTGATCCTTCTCTACGCAATTACTTATTGACCATTCTGAAGTCCTCGAACCGCACCCATTGGGCAGTTGAGGCGAAATCCCCAACAGTGTTTGCAAACATGCCGAAAAAGGTTCCAGTCATGTCATGTCCGGATAGAATTGCTGAGTCGATCGACGCAATCTGGGACCAGTTGAAGCTCGTACTTTCTGAGACTTTCCGAGCCCACGAAAATGTGTATTCGCATGGACGTGCGTCAATCTTTAGCAGGACGCTACCTTCAACGTCAGAAATTGATCCATGTCCAGTTATTTCGCCTGAAACTCCTATAGTTGACACCACACCAAACTCCATTCGCTTCTTATGAGAGTTGTAGAATATCTCGGCATGTCGAAGGTTGTCCTTATAGACCGCTAGACCTGCGTGAACGCCGTTCGTAGGCATCAACCTAACATTCAGTTCGACCGTAACCGAGCATTCCAATGATCTTTGCCTCCGGCCAACAAATGTCGTTGAACCATATTGCTCGTTCAGCGTCGAGGAGCGTGGACTGAGTTCATACGAGTTAGGTGGGAAATGTCTATAGCAAGTCAAGTCAGGAGTCCGTATGTACGTGTCTTCGCATATGAGTGCATCGCCAAGATTTTTTTGCTCCTTCGAAGAAATTTCTGCCATAAATTCGACTGGTTCATCAAACTCCAGCCTCGTCTGGTTGATTTTCGGCCATGATTCATGCTCCCATGTCACAGGCGTTAGGAATGTTTCCCTTCCCAAAGGGCAACGCAGGACATTCGTACCATTCTGACGCACGCCCAGATGCACACACCACCACTTCCCATTCTTATCTTGAAACAAGTCTCCATGGCCTGTCCATTGCACCGCTTCTTTAGTTCCTTTCGCTGTCAGCAGGGGGTTAGAAGGACAGCTCTCATAAGGCCCCCAAATGTCGCGTGCCCTTGCGATGTTGATCTCATGACCTTCAAAGGTCGAACCTTCAGCAGTCAAAAGATAATACCATCCGTCTTTATGGTATAGATGAGGTCCTTCTGCATCGCCACCAGGCCTGGCGCCTTTCCACAATAGCCTTGTCTCAGAAAGAGCTTTTCCAGAATTTAAATCAATCTCAAACTGTCTGATTGAGCAATTCGGGGCCCAGGGCGGACCACTGCGATATGAGCCTTGGATGAAGGCGCGTCCCGTTTTAGTATCGAAGAATAGCGAGGGGTCAATGCCAGGAAAAGCAAAGTAAATCGGATCTGACCAAGCATATGGGTCACAGATTCGTTCCTCGGGGCAGCTGATCAAGAAGTTCTCAAAAATATGTTTCTTTTCATCTGGATCCTCTATTGCATTGGTACAGACAATGTAAAACATCGATCTATAATATCGGATCGTCGGCGCGAAAAGGCCTCCGTTGATGATCAAATTCGGTGTTTGAGCCACGGGTATTTGCGTAGCCCACGCGTGACGGAGTGAAAGCTGAGTTGGTCTAGAGATGGCGTGGGTGCGAAGCGTCCAGTCTTGAAGATTGTTACTTGTATATATGGGCAACCCTGGAAACACATGAAAGCTAGAATTTACGAGGTAGTATGTGTCCTTGACCAAGACAATTGAGGGGTCGGGAGCAAACCCAGGAATAATTGGATTTGTTATTGTCATCTTTGCTCCTACGGAACTTTTGCATTGTCTGAATTTGGAGTTTCTTGATTAGCTGCACAGCTTAATGAATGTGCCGTATAAATTATGGTTTTCCACTCCCGGAACTGCCGGAGTTGATTGTGAAATAGAACATCACAGAGACAGATGATTAAACGATATTTGCAGTCAACTTCGCACCGGGATAAATATGTCCGAGATCCGTTGTCACTCTTTTGAGGTGAATAGTACATTTCTGAGCTTCGGGACTCGCAATTCTTAAGCAAATTTTTAAATAGACACGAAAAACTATCACCATGTTGGCCATGTCAGGGATAGTATACACCATGTTAATAGTACCAATCACTGCTTGTTCAATACACGTTAACATTATACTGTCATAGAGTCATTTCATCTGCTAATCAGTTCAAATGTTGCATGTTACTTGTGAATCAGAAATCATCTCCTCCGAAAGTGAAACAAAGGCCAACAGATACATCTCAAGACAAGACTAGCTAAATTTTGATTCCAAAGCAATACGTGCGTTATTTGCGCTAAAGCTAGTTATCGGGATTAAGTGATGAGGGGACATTTGTAGACGATTTGAACTGTTGAAATTTACGTGGAGCAAGTTTTGCTTCGTACGCGTTGTCAATCTCCTCGGTGGTCATGCCTGTGGTGTCGGGAACGATGATCCAAGCAATGACCAGCATCAGGACCGTGGCCCCCGCATACACAAATCCTGTACGAGTACCGAGATTTCCGCTGTCCACATTATACATATAGGGTGTCGTGAAGAGGAAAATCCAAGTCGAAAGGGTCTGTGCAAAGATACCGATCGAAAGCGTCTTCGCGCGTAAGCGATAGGACGGTATCTCCGCAGCGATAGGCCAACCCGCGCCCGAAAGTGTAGCCGTCTGAAGTGATATGAGCAAGTTCATCAAGGCAGCGATTGCCCAAAGTGGGCCTTGACCATGCGCATAATAGAGAGCTCCTATAACGACCATTATGATGAGGTTGAGAATCAGACCCAAAAAAACGGTCGTCCTGCGGCTGATTTTCTTGAGGTATAATCCCGATGAACACATGATCAAGATTGCTAAGCCAAAGCCTCCAATACCAATGTCAAAGGCATGAATGGGAGCCAGACCGGCGATAATCAGAACGTAGATATTCTGATTAAGCAAGGCAGCACCTCCAATGTTCGCAGTGGAATAGAGAAAGGCTACTGTCAGTGTCCGTTTTAATTCCTGTCCCTTGAGACACGAAAGGTAGGTTCCACCCTGTTCAATTTGCCTCTCCTCTTCCAATGTGCGGATCACATACTCCAAACGCTCATTCGGGGAATTTTGCTGTCCGTAGATACGGGTCATGGCTTTCCGTGCTGCTTCAATTTTACCGCGTTTCGCAAGATAGACCGGAGACTCGGGTGCCAAAGCCCAACAGATCACCGCAATGCCTCCGAATGCCCACTGGATTGCAAAAACGTGCCTGAAAGAGGTCTCGTGAATGTTGGGAACGTACGCACGGATGCAGCCAAGAGCAGCACCTTGGATAAAGATTATGGACATGACTAGGACAGTTTGTAGAGGTGCTCGAAGCCTGAGGGGTGCGATCTTCGTGTTTGAAAAATGATTAGCTCAGAGAAATCGAAACGAAAAAGGTTTCAAATACGTACTTCCCCTATGTATGTGGTTGCGATGGCAACGACGGCCCCAATGCCAAATCCACTGACCATCTTACCAGCCATTAGACCAGGACGAGTAGTAGCAGTGTATTGCACAGCTGTGCCAGCTAAAGTGAGCCCAGCCGAGAAAGATGCTGGCCACTTCCGCCCTAGCTTATCAATAACCCAGCCGCAGATGATGGCGCCAATCGCCTGCGTCAAAGAGGACATAGCCGTCCACAACGACGACCAGACGGATGGAAGGTACAAGCCTTTAGGACCTTTATCACCAAAGTAGAGCAGAAATGCCGGCATCGAGATCGATGCCCCGTTAACCACAACATCGAATCCGAAAATAGCGGCGGATGTCAAAGTCACGCATGCTGAGTTGCATTAGTTGATATCCTAAAGGAAATGAGTAAGAACGTACAAATCAACAGAACCCTCCAATGCTTCCTCGCATTGGCGACCACGCTCAGTCCGCGTTCTGTTTCGACAATGTTCTGGCCCAGCTGTGCAAGGGCTGCATCAGCTGTCCCAGCATACTCATTGTGCGTAGCCCCTGACTTCATCTCTTTGACAGACATCTTGGGCACATGCAAATTTTGCAATTGTGGAGTTCACAAGCTTCGAATCCTGGGGGAGCTGGATATCTTTAACCCCAAGTCCTGATATGTATGGGGTAGCCTAGGCTATTGCGCCTTGCGTGCACCCAGCTCAAGGCTTTACCATATCAGTACAAGAGACGAAGGCCATCGCTAAAACATGCACCGAAGGCCCGGAGCAGTGGAATCACGTGCAAATTCTGTGTGTTGTGCGCTAAGTTATTTTCAACGAGTCAACGTCCATGATTAGGGCAGACAGTGCGAGAGGATACAGGAGAACCGAAGGGAGCGCACGACAAGCTCGGGACGTGTGGAGCCCCACGCCCCACTTCCCCGAGATTTAACGTGTATACTGGGCGCCTTTTCCCGGCACAGGTCTGGAAGATCCGAGAAAATTGGAGACCCGTTATCCTCATCCTTATATATCATTGCTCAGCCAAGTTCGGTAGATATCCAATACTACCCGAGATAGACCGAGAATCCCTCTCTCCTCTCAGAATATGGTTTCGCATGTCATGCAGGGTCCCCACGTGGCACGCACCAGCCGCAATGCTTTGCTCACCACGACAATATGAATACGTTTAAGTTTGGCGAGGAAAACAGTGTCTGGACCAGAATAAGCTGGCAATCAAGCCTTGTCGTATCTTTTCAACAGGCCCATGTTCAAACGAAATCATGGCAAAGATGACGACGACGAATACAGATTTCTTCGATTCGACTCTGGACACTGTAATCTTGCCAAAGTCGATAGCTTTTCAGGGCCACAGAGCGCAATCATTTGTACCTGGAGCCATTGAGCTCAGTAATGATGCTATCGGTGAAGCCCAATCATGTGCTTCTGTTGTGCTTGATTACGGTCGCTGCGAGGGCGGCATGCCATTTTTCGAAATCAACAGAGCACAGGGACATCAAACACTTGTTGTAAAGGTAGTTTACAGCGAGACTGCCCAAGGCATTGATACAGAGACAGGTGTGTTCAGCATCGACCTTTGTCTTTCGGGACAGAAAATTAGGGTGCTGACTAGAATCAACTCAACAGGCGACGGGCCCTTCTTTTTTTTCTCAAACACTATGGACACCTATCGGACTATCCAGCTCGACATTGCGCCATCAGAGAAGTCATTCACAATTCTCCCCTTCTATGCACAATACTCGCAGAGATACCAGAAGATCACCCTAGTCTCGCCCAATGCCAGTGTCACTTTCGGCAACATTGGCTTTAAACGTACTCGACCGAGTGCGATCCCCAAGGCTCATTTGACTACTTCTGATGAGGAATTGAATCGAATCTGGGAGGACGGTGTTCGTACGGCAGAAATGTGTAGCCTAGTGCTTGGCGAGACCAAGCCTGCCTGGGAAATCACTTCAGAAGGTGCCAGAATTCGTGGTCAGCACTGGGCGCCCTGTCGGTGGGGCACTAGATGGACTGATAAAACAATTACCTTTCAAACACGTATAGAGCGCTGTGGGGCTAGCTGGGGAGTGCATATGGTTACAAACGGTTTGATCTTTTGCCTCGATTTGACTTCACGCACACTGCGGGCTGTGGAAGGTCTCGCGGACCAAGCTACCGTGTTTCCTTGCACTGAGAGAGGCCAGTGGCCACTTCCAGAAACAATTGACTTAACAGGTTGGATATCAGTCCGTGTTCAAACAGTTGATCAATCTGCCCTCATTTGGTTGAACGATGTTCAAGTCAGCACTATTGACAATCTATCAATCCGTCCAGTACTGGGTGGTAAAATCAATAGCGGATCGATAGCATTCGGCGGCCCTTCAGGTTGGATTGCCATGTTTCGTGGATTACTTGTTAAGGCTGCCGACGGACATGTGCTCTATGAGAATGATTTGTCTCTTGCGGACAAGGAAAGAACGTACGCAGATTTCCAGGTTGGCTCAAACCCTGTCCCTTGCACCATTGACGGTGCGAAACGAGACCGCGCATGTTTTGGAGGAGATCTTTTCGTCACAGGACGTTCTATAGCCTACGGGGGGCTTAACCACGATGCTGTGGCCGGTACAATCAGACTCCTAACTAGTCACCAGACAACAGACGGGTATCTTGGAAACTTGTGCTCAGCACAAGCTCCGGTTCATGAAACGAACGTGGATCCACCATCCTACGCTTTCTACTCCCTAAGCTATGCCTTACTGTTAGTAGTGGCCATCAAGGACTACTGGCTTCACACCGGGGATGCTGTGTTAATAGATAAAGTTTACCCTGCAATGTTAAAATTGCAGGAGTTTGTGCAAAGACACTTGAATCAGGAAGGGCTGGTAGAAGTCTCGCCCGAGCTCTCAAGTATGTCTCCAGCTTGCATTCTTGGTTGCTCGATGTGTTACTAATACTTTTATTGCAGTGACATGGTTTCCATTGGGTGGACCAATATTTGGGGTGTCTGCTGTGGTCAATCTTGCATATTACGATAGTCTCCGAGCCATGAGCATTCTGGCATCTGGTACAGATGAGAAGAAACGCTTGACACTGTTGGCAGAAAATTTACGGGATCGGATGGTAGAGCACCTATGGAATAAAAGTACTGGAATATTCCGCATGGGCACGACGCTTCCCGAGGACGGTGTTTGTCAGGATGTTGTTGCGTATGCGACAAGTCTTGGTATCATCCCTGGACATCCAAACCTCCAAGCCCATCTTGGTGCTCAGGATACGCAATTACCTCTAGCATTTCGAGGATTAGGCCATTGGTCCGACAGCAAAGTCGTCAGTCCGTATGCTACAGGCTATGCAGTCGAAGCACTGTTTTCACAAAAGCTCGGCGACAGCGCCTTAAACTTACTGAAGCGCGTTTGGGGTAGCATGGCAGACCGTACTAAGCCAAACTTTTCAGGATGTCACTGGGAGGCGATGAGGCTTGACGGTGAACCTTACAGTCACGACACATCCCTTGCACATGCGTGGTCAACATGGCCTGTCTTCCTGCTTCCACGATACCTCGCCGGTCTAAGATCGACAGGACCTGGATGGGAGTCAATCGAGATAACCCCATTGAGAACAAAAATTCGGCATATCAGTTATGATATTGATACATGTAAGGGGAAAATAGCTATTGTCATAGATTGGGTTCAAGAAAGTGGGATTGAAAGAGGAAGTACTGTAGGCACCGTACGTTTGACGCTACCGGCAGGAGCAAAGGCGACGTTGACTGTTCCCGATGGATGTACACGAGATTGTGCGGAGACAATTGTCGGTCCAGTTCTGGACCTAATGATCCAAATCAAGAATTAAAGACCATATCACAGCTTTTGTAAGCTTGCTTAACGTTTGTGCCGAAAATGTCTAGTCTCGCAAAATTATACGTATTCCAGGGCAATGTCGATAATAAGCTCATTTTTCCCCAAAAATTCCAGTGACGCGTATGAAACATCTCCGTGCTTTGATTGGGCGTGGTAGGCGGTGCTGAAGTCGCAGACTAGCAGTCTGTATAACCATCAAGATAAAAAAAATCAATAATTATTTGGTGAGAAAATATTCAAGAGGACAATCAAGGCTGTCCGACTTCACAATTTTGACAAAAAATGCGAGGTTGATAATCGTCTTGCTTGAGCAATGCTCTTACGTATTTCTCCTGTGCATAATACCTGCTGAGGCCTGGAGCAGTTCAGAATCACAGTATTCTGAGCGTTGAAATTCAAATCAAGACTCACCTGGTGATTTGGGAATATCAGCGTGTCGGCGATAACGACATTCTCCCTTCGTCCCGCAGCAAAAACAATCACCTCCGCGATATCATCTGGCGTCAATGGATCCACGCCTTTATAAACGGCGTCCGCCTTTTCTTTATCACCATAGAATCTCACCACACTGAACTCAGTCTCTACCTGACCTGGGTCTATCTCCATCACCCTTATTCTCGTAGCGATCAGCTCCTTCCGCAGGGCCTCAGTGAACGTTCTCACAGCGGCCTTGGTAGCACAGTATATGCTGCCACCAGCATATCCTTCACGACCGGCAATGCTACCAATATTGATGATATCACCAGAACCGCCATTTGGCCGCGACTTGAAAATTTTCATCACAGCTTGGGTCAGCGCTATGAGACCGAGTACATTTGTCGAAAACATAATGTTAATGTCTTCTTCAGCAATATCCGGAGATTGCGCCATGCCTTTGACGAGCCCGCTGAAAAAAAGTTAACGACCTGATCGAGTGCAAATTATGGTCACACGTACGCGTTATTAACTAACACATCAATGTTCTTGAATTCCTCTGGTAGCCTTCCAATGAAATCCTTTATTTCGTCTGTTTTGGACATATCCAGCTTTACTGGTAGGACTTTAACACCATCACCAACCTCCTTAGTAATATTTGCAGCCACTTCTTTGAGTGCGTCGATTCGCCTAGCCGTAAGAATAAGTTTCAAGTTCTTTGGAGACGTCCTCGCAAATTCATGTGCCGTGCTTCGGCCAATTCCTGAAGAAGCACCCGTGATCAGAATTGTCTTTCCCTCCAACCTCTTTGCCATAGCTGTAGCCATTGTGCGGTATATTATAGGCGATCGGATGCGGGGAGCTATCTGTTGTCTAACACAGCTGGCTAGGTTCAGTCGGAATGTTGCGTGAATAAGTGCAGGTATTTCACGAATTCTTGAAGATTTCATATGAGCTGGAAAGATTCAGTAGGTTTTTCAGGAGCTTATCAATTATGCAATTGGTGTTTTCGCTTAAGTACGTGGAGTCGATATCAACGGCGGGATTGCCTTTCTCCGCAGCGAAATCGGCATGACGCCGTGAGGAGTTACAGTATAGATCCACAAAACCCGGCCGGGTTTGACTACATGTGTTTCATTGCTGACTATTCACCCAAGGCTAACTTATCACGTTCTCAAGCATGTCATGTGGCTTTATCTTCGGTTTGCATGATGTTTGGCATGCCTTGTATCTGAAGATGGGAAAATTACAAAGCCGTCATTTATAAAATCAAAGATCTGTCAGTACCTAAGCGTCCCAAAACCGGTTCGAGCTCTTGTCATGGAGAGACGACGTAGTAAGTGGTGAAAACTCGAGCTAAGTCCAATTTTGGTCTCTGAATGCATCTATAATATAGTACTGCGACAATTCTTGAAATGACTAAATTTTCTACATCACATCCAGACGATATGTGGTGTATGATACTATCCCCTCGTTATGACAATTATTATATCTGACACAAATTTCTCTTCTAAAAATCGAAAAATCTACTGGCTTAAAGACTCATTACTTGCATACACTTCGCTGAGAGATTTTCTGCTCTTAAGCATTTTCAGCCTTACTTAAGTAAAGTCAAAAGTTTAATATCGTTTTAATAAATTCCTGAGTTAGAAGCATCTGATCCAAGTATTAGAAAATTTCCAGGCATGTGAATAATTCAACAGTGAATTACTACGTATAGAATTTTCTGATTCACTCAGTAGTGACTTAGTTGCATATATTCACGGGACTGAATAGTGAAGAGCACATTGCTTATTGCTCAAATTAGGGAATAATTTCGTTGTTCTATCACTTCTGCTTTGAAATAACTTTCTCATATGATAATAAAGCGGTGATGATTTTCCAGACCTTAAGTTTTCAGACATAATCTTATTTTTTGTGCTGATCTGGAAAAACGAGCTTTTCAAGGAGTGTCTAAACATTGACATCAACAAGGTCAAATTCGGGACTCTAATTTGTGCACTCTTGAGTTACTAACATAGAACAGAACAAATCCAACCACACTGACTACAAAAGAGTCTTATATTCCTTTCATCCCAATTGGAGATCAACGCTTGGCAGCAACATCCAGCATGATGGCGACGACAGAGTGGCTGTTCTTCGATAATGAGAGTACCTCATCATATTGTAAGTTTCGTGAAAGCGTTGCAAAGCTTCAGAATAGCTAACAAGTAATGAAATAAGCTCATTTGTTCTGTGATGCAGGATTAATTGTCCAATTTGGCATTCAGGGAATGTCTCCGTCCCTACCAGATGCATTTCAGGACGACACAATCTATAATTATTGTCGCAACGTACCTACGGCAACATTTGAGACTGCGAATTTTACGCATACGAAATCTCTCCCTCTTAAATCCGCTGGTAATGGATTTGTTCAATCAGAGAACTCATCTTCGGACTCGAGAGTCCCCTTCTTTCTTCCTTGTGCACCAGTCACAAGCTCTACAAACACAGAGCCTTTTGAGGTGTCCTATGTCACTGAGGCACATAGCCACGCTGCCCCAACATCCACAAAACTGTCTCCAGAAGCATCTTCTTTCGTTCCAAGTCTTGATGTCGGACACTTGGATCCTCCTCACAGAAATGGCTACTTAGAGCAGAAAGGTTGCACTTCAACTCTGTCTCCCTCTCGAGTCCTCTATAGTTCAGCTCGTGACGCTCATTTGGAGTTTCGCGAATCTGATCTTGAAAGTCTCGGAGACTTGCCGACGTCCACCACAATAAACAGTCGGTTGACTTCACCGTGCAACCCACCTAAGGGCCTTTCTATGAAAGAGCTTAACGATATCATCAACTACAAACCCCACCTAATCGAAGATAGACTTCGTAAATTAGGACTAAAGTTCACTGTTGAACCTGAGGCCATCTTCACGACTAAAACTAAACAGCCCAGTCACCCAGTCGCCGATGATGTAATTAGCATCAAAGATGAACATCCTAAGGCCAATTCTTGGTTTGAAACTGGCTACTATAATCAATCTTGCGATGAAGCAGATCACGCTTTTGAGCTCTGCACAAGACATGCTCAAGCTCATACCGATGTTGAAGCCTTTCCACCTCCTTACCTAGATGCAATCACGGAGGCCAAGCTAACGTCATGGGCAAATTCAATAGAAGATGAAGATGAAGAGGAGCAATCACTGCAGACTACAACAAATTCACAGTATTCAGGTGTCTCAGATCGAATTGCTCGTCCTGTTGGTCTCGTCTTTGAGCCATCTCCACAAAACAAATTCCTTGTCTATGGAAACCGCAGTCTTGAATTTTTCGAGCCGCACATGAGCATTGAGGCGCGCATCGAGAAACTCTGCAAGCTCGGAGATCGCTCATTTGAAGATCGCGATGTTGCGGCAAATCCAGAAACTGCATGGAGACAGAGACGACTCGAAGAGAAGTCTAGAAAGCGGGCAATGGATGACGCTTATTTTCAGCACTTTCGCTACACAGCCTTTGACGACAGCGAAGATGGCTTCAGCGTTAGTGAACTCGCAGTACGAATAGCGGAATTCCATATGGATGATTGTCCGGATACTGCTTCTCTATCGTCTGCTTTGATGAGCGCCTACGAATACACGTATATTACAGCACCACAGACTGTTTGTGCCGAATTTGCTTCAATTTTTATTGACAAAGACGAAGCAGGTGCAGATACTTATGCCACCAAGATTTACGATAACAGCATGCCAGAACTTTGTGGTATCAATCGCTTAGGCTTCTATCGTGAATTCGTCGACTTAGAAACGAGCTACAATGATGAAGATACTCATTTTCAAGGAGAAAAACCAAATTCGACCGTCGTTTATCATGACATGAATCGTCGATTCTGTCTGTTACGCCGCCTTGTTCTGCACGCACGTCCATCTATCTGGCATGGTAAAATGATAGACGAGCGAATTGCGGCTTTCGAATTGTTGAAGAACTCAAATCTCCGGCTGATGAAAGCACCGGTTGTGTTCGGTGACGATATTGAAAAGGTAAAGGCTACCGGATTGTCTTACCGGCGTGGTTACTCCAAACGAATGAGCTTCTTGGACATTAGAAAGAAGCTTATGCAGGAGTCGAAAGATGGTTGGAAGAACCTCCCCAAACTTCTCAAAGAGTATATTGGACCCTCGCGCCTACGCCAAGTCCAGACACATAATGCCGAAGTGAAAACGGAATCGCCAGCTGCTGCGCGAAGATTGCAAGCCGCCAAAAGCTATTATGAGTCCAGGCTCAAAGCACTTCCAACAATGACCTTGGAATATCTAAAAGCTTTGAATGATTACCGTCAAGAATCTCAAACCATCACCAATTCGTCCTCGAATGAAGAAATTCTGAATTTCTTTCGTCGACGTTGGACACGTCGACAGTTGGAAAATCAAGATGCCAATCAAATCATGAAGCACCACATGAAAACAGCAATACCCTTACATGCAATTTGTGCCGGTAAACACGATAAAGCGAACAAATGCGCTGGCACTTTTAGCAATGGTGTTGGTAAGATCATTACTTTGGGACAAGGCAACTCGAATTCCGAAGGCAACGTTGGCTATTCTGATCTTGAGACTATTATTGACCATCACTCTGATCAGCCGTATGACAAGTGGATGAACCAAATCTGGGCTGGTCTATCGATATCGAACACCTTTGTCGACTCTGACGAGGAAGAAGTCATCGAGATGAGGTGTGATACGAAGCTTGAACTTGATCAAACTGGGGCTCAAGAAAAATCTTTGAGCTTACGAAAGGCTCTAGACACTCTAAGGATGTCACTACTCCAAACAACGCCTCCTTTAGTTGCGAACACGCCCTCTTTTGTCACATTCGGCCTTCTCGATAAGGCAATAATTTGTCTTTCTCCGCTGCGATTCAAAGTCGTCTTGGATCTTGGAAATGTGAACCACAAAATCCTTGAAGGCACACGCAAGAGACTGCACTCGGCTGTGGTCAAAAACTATGTGGATCCTTTCACCCAAGATCAATTCGAACATCATGATATCTTCGAAACAAATCCAATCGATCGTATATTTCGTAACCCTCGGTCTGATTTACTACACTCAGGAGATAAAAGCAACCAAGAATCAACAGCGCTTCTGCGCTCGGATCGAGTGCTCCATGCGTGTAACGGTATCTCTGAAGACCATATTTGCCAGCCCAGGGACAAAACCGCTCCTGCGTATAGGCAACTAGCTGGAAACTCTTATACCAAGGGACACATTTTGAGGCCATCTGTTTCATTTGACTCTTGCTCATTTGATGGCGAGCCGCGTGGCTCTTTAGATGCGACCAGCTACTTAACGACATTGGAGGAAGAATATGCTCACGCGAAATCATTGTTGTATATTGCTGGCGTTGTTCTGCTTGCTTGCCTTCTGTGGTGAAATCTTGGTTCAGATTCGCCTTCTTTTTTTTCGTTTCTTTGACTTTGACGCGCCTAGCGAACGATTCGGTAGCAACATTCCGTATTGTAAGTTCTCTACTATTTGCTGCAGATGTGCCTACGTTTTGCTTTCAAGCGACGGAATTTCCATAAGATTAGCCGAAGGATATATAGAGATTTGATCGTTTAAATCGAACAATTTCCCTTTGTCGAATTGTATGACTACGAGTGAATACATAATTAGCTCTCCCCTCGCTTTGATTCTATGAACCTCCTCCTTCTTCCATCTTTGCTTTCCAGGAAAAGTTACACCACACATGTGAATTACTTCCAAATTAGCTTTAGTGCGGCATATTCTTGACGTAATCGGACTGAAGTCAATTCCAGCCCGGACTCAACGACCAGGTGCAAATGTAATTCCCAACATCAGCCATGGCCGAACAAATTCTAAATTCGAGAAACAAGGCCTTACAAATGTCCTATCGTATAGGCAAGGGAGAGCAACGCGTCCTCAGCTTTGAACCATACAAGTCATCCCTACTACCACTTTGGCAGTTTCGCACACCAGAGATTGCACGCAAATCTTCGCAGGCGCTATGGGAACGATTTGAGGCATATTACGAGGCCAACGACTTCGTGGGGATGGACATGACGCGAAAATTCATCCAAATGGGCATGTCACGTGCGAAGCGATATGCGAATCATGCTGGAGGAAGAAAGTATGACAAGGCGACGGGCAGAGAGCTCGAGAAAAGCCGTACCCATAAAGACCATAAAGATAAGCTAGAAGCTTCAAATATTTTCAAGGCATACTGGATAAAGTGCAAGGAGCATGAGGGCTACTTGAGGAAGAAGGAAGCCTTTTTGAAGGAGCAGAAAGCGTGGGATAGAGAGCATGCTGACGGAAGAGCAAAGAAAGACAAATGCTTTAGTCAATTAATTAACGAAGACTGAGAGCAGAGGTAAGGTAGACTCATATCTTTGGGCTATATTGAATTTCGAAAGGTCATGACGTCGTTTTCGATCGCCCGTCATCGTCCGCCTGCGTGTGCATCTGAACGAAAGCCAGTGAGCTTAAACAAGTCTAATCGCGCGGCACTGCGATACTTACAGCGCTGGCAAAAGAGATCCACTCCTCGATTCCCTTTGCATACGGATCTTCGGCCGCGCTCCATGGCATGTCGTGGTTCCAAACCATAACTTCATCAAAGACGCCCAGCTCTTCGGCTATCTTAGTCTCCTCGGTTTCTTCATCAGCATCTTCGTCCTCTACATCGCCCTCCACTGGGGAGGACTTGGACCTAGGCATAAGGTCATTTGTTATTCTCAGCACAGAACCTGGTCCTCGTTAGCACTCTGTGAGCTAGACGTGCACATCAACAAGCGTGCCTTGGTAATGCTGTGGAACTTTAAGAGAGTTTCCAGACAACTCACGGCCTCTGAAGTATGCCTTGTATCCACCATCTGCAAAGATTAGCACAAGATAGCGTGTTAGAGTAAAGATACTTGCTCTCTGTCTGCTTTGGCTCCCAATACCTTCTCTCCACCTCAGTGGGGCCGCTATAATTTATTTTGCATGGCAAGAGATGGACCTTGACTCCCGTGACGTTTCCTTCTTTCCGCTGTATAGCTAGCATCGTCGCTCCTCTTCTTGCTCGTCCTCCCGCCTGTCGTCACGACTCAACACGTCTTCCAGAAAGTCGCGTCGCGCGCACAGACGAATCAGGTCCGACACCGGCGGTTGCGAACGGCGTATGCAAGCTGCACCTTGACCTCGTTGTCCGAAACAAACTTTGTAACTTGTTTCATTCCTGAGCAAATCAGGTGGGTTGCCGGCTGAAGCTTCGAAGCTTTGCTTCAATACCGCCTATCTAAACCCATGCGCTTGATACAGTTGCCGGCTCCGCTCCGTTTACGAAAGTCGACCTGCAACAAACAGACTTCCTCCCTGATACCAAGCGCTGACGCGATCGTTGTCCTGTAGTCTTCGACGACGAGATCACAAAACAAAAGAGATCACGAAGATATGTCCACCGTCCTGAACCGGAACTGAATAGCCAGACAATGAGCCTATAGAATCTGCGCTTTGGTACCCTGGAGCCACTGAGCGCTAGCGTCTAGGTACATTCCTCGATTCAGCTAAGAGCATGACCTCCCCAAACCACACGATGTCATAGATCCCACCAAACAGGAACGACTCGTGGAGACCGAATTGCTGTTTTTCCATGACAATTTAGGTCTGGGATGCCGCATGGGAGACAGCGTCTCGCCTAGACACGCCTTAACAACGGAGCAATCGCTGCGCCGGAATGCCAAAGCTCCGGTCTTTTGCAAGCGTCATGCTTTATTTCCTAGGTTTGAGACTCTCGCGCTACGTTCAAAAGCTGTCTCGTAACCTTTTTTTTCTTTTCTCTTTCTCTGGCCTTCCTCTTTGTTGTTCCCTCGCCTCGTCTTGTAAAATCTTATCGTGTTGTTCTTCGCATTGTAATTTTTGCTTCAAGAGCTCAAAATCAAGATGAGCGTTCTCAAGCCTCTCATATCTCAATTCAATTCTCTTCGCTCATACACCGGATCGCTGGCATGGCATCCGCTCCTCCAAGTATCACGAAGCACATGCCTCTCCTTGCTACAAAGGATTCAAATAGGGTGTCTCGAGATCGTAGACTTTGATGGCCAATCCTACAATTGTGGCCCTATGAGCTCTGCCTCCCCATATGCACAATTAAGAGTGAACAAGGAAACATTTTGGGTGAGGCTCTTGTTGTTCGCAGACATGGGCTTCGCAGAGTCGTACATGCTCTCTGAAATATCGTGCTCAGACTTGACCTCATTTTTCAAGATCTTCATTCTAAACAAGGCTCACTTGTCCGGGTCAACACTCACGGCCTCACTGTCCAACTCTCTCTCTGCTTTCCTGCGGAAAACAAACACCCTAGCAAATGCGCGTCTTCATATATCAGCTCATTACGACATAAGTAACGCCATGTTCGCAGCATTTCTCTCAGAAGACATGACGTACTCTTGCCCGATATGGCTGCCCGTGTCGGATCCTAGGTCGGCAACAGAGTCGCTAGAGGCAGCACAAGAACGCAAACTTTCTCGTTTTATTCGAAACACACGACTGAAAGCGGGTGACCGTGTCCTAGAGATTGGCACGGGGTGGGGCAGCCTTGCGATAAAGGCTGTAAAAGAGACGGGGTGTACAGTCACAAGTTTAACTCTCAGTGTAGAGCAAAAGGAACTAGCGGAGGAGCGGATACGAAGCGCCGGGCTGGAAGATAAGATCACGGTGTTGCTGTGCGATTATCGGGCGCTCGAGGTACCCAAAGAAGGACCGTTTGACAAAATAATTTCTATAGAGATGCTAGAAGCTGTGGGCGCGGAGTTTTTGGAGACGTATTTCGCGTGTGTAGATCGCCTGTTAAAGAAGGATGGTGGCATTGCATGTTTCCAGTGTATAACTATTCCCGAGTCGGTACGTTGCCTTATTCTAAGAACGGTCTGGTAGAGGAAGAGCTAATCGTTCAGCAGAGATACGATGCGTACGCTAGGTCAGATGATTTTATCCGTCGTTATATTTTCCCAGGTGGTCACCTGCCCTCCATATCGCAACTTGTGCAATCCATAGCACGTGGGTCCAAAGGTACCTTGGTGGTAGATGATGTGGAAAACATTGGAGCGCACTACGCTAAGACCCTTCGGCTGTGGAAGGAAAAGTTCCTACTTAATTTCGAGTCGGAAATCAAACCAGCCTTGCTGAGGGAACACGAAGATATGACGAAGGCTGATGTGGAGGTTTTCAAAAGAAAATGGGAGTACTACTTCACGTATTGCGAGGCAGGGTTCGCAACGAAGACATTAGGTGATCACATCATCACTGTCAGCCGGGAGGGAGCGATGGAAGCTATACAAGACGTGCCGCTATAAGCGTGTTCGCCACCTACAGAGCATGACTCCCAACACTAAAGAGCATCTACTATCGACGGGGGATATGGCAGATGAACGTGATGACGAAATTGCTCAATCCCTTTTCTGCTGTACATATGTCAGAGATCTATCCTAGAACTTAGCGCTGTCGGAATCCTTAAAGTGGCCTACGACCAGAGCCGCGCTACCATCTAATTTACTTCTGGGGGTATACAACATCATTTCACCTGCTTCCTATGTCACCTTTTGCCCTTCTTTTTCTTCTTCTTTGAAGATCCACTTGAACGTCCCTCAACGATGCTCTCTGCGCTACTCAGCAGCGCTCGTCTTCCAAACTTGGCTGCGTACTCCGCTTCGAAGGCGTCCTTCTCTTTGCGATACAACAGCATTGCCGCTCGTGCATCCTCAACACTGGAATGATGGCCGGACTGTATCTCCAGCCCCAACACTTCCTTGCACAACATTCGCAACGCAGGCGTCTTCCCAGCGCTCAGCGCTCTATACGGAGCATGTCGACTCGTGTCGCGGATATCCCTCCGCGGATGGGTCAGCATCAACACGTCCAAGTCTCCTTTCAGAGCATGTCCAATCAGTACCCTGCCCTTCAAAAAGGTGGCCACATCTCGCTGCACCTCCTTGAACGGTCGTCCGGCCTTCAGGCTGGATTCCGTGAGCCCCGTGATAGCCGTGCGGTAGTCCGTAACAGGAACCTGAGGCAAAACGAAGGAGTCGTAGATCTGCTCGCCGTGGTAGTTTACGATAGATACGCGTGCGACTTGACTGTCGGAGCGCGGGTTAGGCCCGTAGCCCACCATTTCGCAGTCAAGAGCGATGTATTTGCCTGCTATAGCTGTTTGTGATACACCCTCATTGACTTGTGCCTCAGATTCGCTGAGTTTGTCACGGACATCTTGTGCTGAAGAAGGCCTTTCATTCTCTTCTGCGTCCTGTTCGCCATCTTTGGAATCTTTTGTGCGTTCCTTCAAGTCGGGCGCGCTTTTAGAGTGCCGCATTCGCTTCGAGGCATGTGAATTATTCATTGAGTCCTTGCTCTTGTTCGTATGGACGGTTGCGGTCGCTGAATCAAGCCTCTGTCGTTTCTTCGACGGCTTTTCTTTCGTCGCATCGGGTCGTTTTCGTTTGAGCGCGATGCTCCCCTTGTCTGCTTTCTTGGGCAGTGTAGCTTGTAATTTCTTCCAATTGCTAGACAATTGCGAGAGGTCCATTGGCGCCATGGCGCACTGCATTCAAAGCATCATCATGTTTCTGCTCAGTAAATTTTTGGCGGGGGGGGGGGACACATGAGGCGCAGGAACCGCCACCGACAGGGACTCACTAAGCTTTTAGTGGGCTCAACCCATCCGGTCTTACGGTCGCGAAACAACATCATCGATCACCAAAAAAAGCGATTAGAATCATCAACCTCGCGTTTCTTTCCATCATTTACCATCTCAAAGTGACTTGTACTAACTATGGGAGGGGTGGATGACAAGGCGGAGACGCCTGTTGAGCGTGAAAAGGGCTTTGCGACGCTCGCTGAGCTGAGGTAACATACTTGGCATTTCTGTAACTCACGCTGCAAACTGAATACTGACCTCGTCTAGGATTGGAACGAAGGCCTGGGTCGAAAAGGTAAGAATGCTCAGATTCTTAGTCGTCGGGTTGAAATATGTCACATGATCTGACCTTGACGCAGGAAGGCAGTAAAAGAAAAGCAGAAATCTTGAGTATACAAACCAAAAAGGGCCAGCCGCGATTCTACGTGCACTATGACGAGTTCAACAAGCGCCTGGATGAGTGGATCACTGCGGAAAAGTTTGACCTCTCCAGGGAGGTAGAATGGCCACCACCTGAGAAAGTGGACAAGAAGAAGACGGGTGGCTCCCAGTCGCAAAAAAAGGAGCCTCTCAAGGACAGCAAAAACCTGAAGCGTCAAAAGAGCCAACTCGAGCGCGATACGGCCACTCCGGAGTCGACGTCTGCAAATATCCAGAAGGTTCCGAGGCCCTCCACCGCCGGTGGCAAGGAAAACAAGGAGGTGACGATCACGACGGAGGTCCTAGACGGGACGCCCCGCCCCGAGGATGAAGATACCGACATGGTAGATGTCCAAGATGCGGCGGCCGCTGCCAAGGCTGCGCCTCCAGAGGCCTACTCGCGCGAGGAGGAGATAGAGAAGCTCCGGACTGGCGGCTCCATGACGCAGAATCAGACGGAAATTTCGCGTGTGCGCAACCTGGATAAGATCCAAATGGGTAGGTTTGAGATCGAGCCGTGGTACTTCTCGCCCTATCCGCAGGAGTTCACGGATTGCGACATGGTGTACATATGCGAGTTTTGCCTGAGCTACTTTGGCGAAACGAAGCAGTTCGAGCGGCACAGGCAGAAGTGCACCCTTCTGCACCCTCCGGGAAACGAAATCTACCGAGACGATTACGTGAGTTTCTTCGAGATCGACGGGCGGCGGCAGAGGACCTGGTGTCGCAATCTATGTCTTCTGTCGAAGCTGTTCCTCGATCATAAGACTCTGTACTACGACGTGGATCCGTTTCTTTTCTACTGCATGTGCACACGCGACGAGTACGGCTGTCATCTTGTCGGCTACTTCTCCAAAGAAAAGGAGTCCGCGGAGGGCTACAACGTCGCTTGTATTCTCACCCTACCACAATACCAGCGGAAGGGCTTCGGCCGCTTGCTCATTGCCTTCTCGTACGAGCTGTCCAAGCGTGAAGGTAAGCTTGGCAGCCCGGAGAAGCCCCTTTCTGATCTTGGGCTTCTTGGCTACAGAGCGTACTGGCAAGAGGTGATTGTGGGAATGCTTATGGACGGGCGAACTGAAGCGAACATCGAGGACATTGGCGCGGCTGCAGCGATGACTACAAACGACGTGTTGCACACGCTGCAATATCTGAACATGATCAAGACCTCTGTAAGTTTTTATGCCACGCGTGCCCACGTTCCAAAGACAGATGGCTGACAAGGACGCCACGCAGAAAAACCAACACGTCATCGTGCTGACGGACGCGGTGGTCAAGCAGTACGAGAAGCAGAAGGAAAAGGAGCTGAAGAAGGGCAAGCGGACGATCGATCCTGAGAAGCTGATCTGGAAGCCTCCGGTCTTCACGGCAAGCTCGAGGACGTGGAACTGGTAGGCTGGAAAAAAAAAAGCCAGAAGCAACGGCTCTCTCGGTTTTCCGCCTTTGCGGCTGACCGCCCTCTTTTTAACATGAGATACCCCAACGTTGTTACATTTTGCGAATCTGCCCCTTGTGCATGCCGTTTCTGATACAACTCAACTCTACCCCTCTCTTTTCTCTCCTGTCTCTCTCTTTATTTTTTTTTTTTTCTTTTCTTTTCTTTTCTTTTCTTTTCTTTTCTTTTTTTCTTTTTTTTTTGGGGGGGGGGGGGGGGAACCTCTCGCGTGTATCGTTCCTTGCCCTCTCTCAGCACCATAACCGCCCTTCTGCGCCTACGTACGTCTTGAATCTCTACCGCGAAGCCGTAGGTTTCTCGCCACTCGCCCACTGCGCACTTCGCAACAGAGGCATCTCCCCGTCGCAGTTGGACCACGAAACCGCGTTACAGCCTTTTTGCTCCGCAAAAGACACTTTCTTTCCTTTTTTTTTTTCCTCCCCTTCCTGTTCTTCACCTCACTTTCCTTCCGTCCTTCAGATCTTTTCTACCCAACCCCGATCGGTCCAGCGCCGCCAACCTGTCCCTCCGCGTTCGATCCAGGCGTCGGAGCCCGCCTCGGTCGCACGACGCCCGTCGAACTTCCGTCGCCCACGTCCAACGGCGGGGACCCCCGGGCCTCCGACTCAGAAGGCGTGCGCCGCTTTTCAAACGTCGTTCGACCGTCCGCCAGCAGCGCACCCGACGGGGGGTGTCCACATGAGACGTGCCGGGTGCTGCACTCGTGGCGGGGAAAGGGTGGAAGGGCCGAGGCAGGACTGGAAGCGCGGTGGGCTTGTAGAGATGGTCGCCTTGCCGTGGAATCTTTCCACGTCGGCTCTTTGCACGATCCGTCAGCGCGCGGCTCGGGACGTCTTGGGAGAAGGCAGATAATAAGGCAGCACGTATTTTTGAAGGACTAGAGTGCACAAGTGGAGGCTTCTACGTACGAAAAAGGGGAAGCATACAAGGACAAAAAGTGCAGGATTGCAAAATGCATCATTCTATTCCTTTGAAATTAAGGCCGAAGTAATGTGTATTGATGAGCATTCGAAGAACCTGGCCCCACGACACGCCTCTCCAAGTAGATTGTTTCGGCACCTCCCAAAACCCCCGGGGCGTGTGCAGAATGACGGGGGAAGAAGGAGGTGATCTTCAAAAATACAAGAAGAAGAGAAGTTTCCTTCTGAAAGCGGCCCTTTCTCTTCTCTTTTTATTTTTTTTTTCTCTCTTGCTCGCTTTTGCTGACGATGCTCGAACGATGCTTCAAAGGAATTTTATATTTCTCTTTTGTAGACGAAAATAATAGAACGCCTCCCAATGCCATCGAGAGCCTCCCTCCCCTACGGTGGCCCGTTATCTTCGTCATTAGGTCCATGCCAATACAGGTTAAGAACGAGAGCGCGAAGGGTACAGCCGCAAGGGAAGATAAAGAAAAAAAAGAAAACCGCCCCCAAAAAAAATGGGAGGGGAAATAAAACGGACTCGCTCTTTCGCACCGTCCTTCCTTCGGATACAAAATAAAAAGCATTCAAACGATCAGAGCTCCGAACTCTTCGGATCCTTTACATAGATGTCAGGCACCCTCGGTACCTGTGGACTTTTCTGCAAGTCCCTCCGTATCTGTTCTCGAACTTTTTGATCCCCGCTGCCGCCGGTCAATCGCCTGGTCATGCTTCTGAATCGGCCGCCAACGCTGGGCCGCAGCGTCGTTTCGATAGGGAATGACTCTGGATGTCCCAAACTGGGGGAAAACTCTTCGTCCTCCCAGGGCTCGTCGACGAGGGTGCCGTCGTCGGTGATGAGCGTCGACCGAGAGGTCGACATGCCCGCACTTTGTGTTCCTGAACTGCCAAGACCCGCGCTGTGGGGTGGCACCGCAGTGGGGGAGGTGACACTCCGCGAATGTAAGATAGGCCTTGTGCCCAACTGTGACGGCGGAGCGGCGAACCCACCGAACGCGGTCGGCGTCATGATCATAGCCTCTCTGCTGGGAGATATGCGGACATCTCCGCTGCCGCTGCCGCCGGCGCTTCCACTCGTGCCAATCCGATTGATGGCGCTGCCGTACGGATCGCCGAACCCGGTTTGAAAGCTGCTGACGCTGGCGTTGCGCTTGAGGCTTCTGTGGAGGATGGGCAACGTCTGCTGCTCGTACGTCGATTCGCGGAACGTGTCGTGGATCTCACTGGTGTCGTCGTCGTCTTCGTCGTTGAAAAAGTCGTCGAGCTGATCCAGCTTGTCGACAAGGTCGCCAGTGGTCGTTATTGTAACTTGTCTCGTGTCGTCGCTCATCATGGTTGCGGTCCGCCATTCGGGGAAAGGATAGTCTTCTGACACAAGCTCGATCGTGGGCGTCTCGTCGTCTTTGGCGCCACTGACTTCCGGTGTCGCGCACGTGTAGAAGACCGCGTGGACATTCTCTCGCGTCATCTTGGCGTGGGCAGCGGGCATGGGTATGGACCATCCCGAGTCTTCGGGGATGCCGTAGAGAGACTTGACGTTCTCGAATTCCTTTCTCTGCGCTCGCGACGTGTTTGCGCCCGCCATGCTCATCCGCAGATGCTTGTTGTCGAGCGGCGTTGCCGTCATCGTCATCATGAGCTCGTCCATGACGGCAAGAGCCTGAGGGCAGAACTCGGTCTGCAGCAGCCGCAGCAAGGGGCTCAGAAGATCGCTGCCCTGGTTCGTGATTTCCGGATTCCGCATGTTGATATGAGGAATGATGACGCACAGGAGGTGCATCGTCTTGATCTTGAACCACGGCAGCTTGTTGGTCAGCAAGCTGAACAGGAAAACCAAGATCTGATATTCCTGAGCGGGAAAGTAGACGGTCTTCAGCGCCGGGATCAGATCCTGGAGGAACTCGTCGTCGTTCGCGTAAAGCAGCCGCGTGAACTTGTCCAAAGGATCCGCGAGGTTGTCGTAGCCCAGCCCGCTGGCGACATGGGCCAGAGTGCTCGCGGAAGTCAAAGTGGCAGGGTCCTTGACCATTGTTTCGAACAGCCTCAAGAAGCGTGGGAGGTTGGCCAGCAGCGTGTACAGGAATCGGCTGTCGTCCCCGACGACGGCGGTGGAGGGCAAGGCAACCAGCTTCTCCAGGACCTTGAGCGACTTTTCGAGACAGACACTCGACCGCACGCCTTTGTAGAGCAAGACCTGCACGCCGTCGAAGTGACCCGACCATTTGTCGACGGGGAATGTCTCGGACAGGCGCTCGATGACGACCTCGTCGCTCAGATCCACCTTGTCGATAAACCGTTCGAGCATGGCCAACGCCTCCAAGAACTCACGCTCGTGGATGGTGTCAAGGCAGGCGCACGTGGTCCAGAACAGTTGCGGGTATTGGATCAGGTCAGCGGGGGCGAGCGCGTCGATGATCTTTTTCATGGTGGTGAGGATTTCGAGCGAGAACGTCTGCACCTCGGCGGAATCGTCGGCGATCGTATTCGAGAGGCGCGCCAGCATGTCCGCGAGCATGACCTGTTCGAGGGAGCCCAAGATGGTTCTGAAGACCTGGAACGACCGGCACGCAAGATGATGCACGGGACAGATGGACGCCCACTTGAGGGCCATCTTGCTGCAGTCCTCGCGTATGGAAGGGTACGTCATGCTGAAGATGTTGATCACCTCCGTCGCGACAAAGTTCATCGCGGGAGGCAGTCGGATGTCGGAATCGTCCTCTTTCTTTCCGTTGTAGTCTTCGTACGCCCAGACGACCTTCGCGTCCTCTCCCCGCACAAGGTCGATGAAGTTTTCTATCGAGCGCTTCGTGGGCGCCGTCTCGGGCCCGTCGTCGATTTGAGAAATGACGAGCTCGTGCATCAGGTGCACGAGCATCTCTCGAGCCTGGTCCTGGACTAGCGGAATGTAGTGGTCCCAGAGGATGAAGATGACGTGCAGCAGCAGCGGCACGGCCTCCTTGGACAGTTTCATGGGCGCAACCATCAGGTCGACGAGCAGGATCAGGCAGAGCTGCCCAGGCGAGAAGCCTTGTTGTTTCGTGCCGGCCGGAAGGACGACGCCGAGGTCGGCCAGATACGGGAAGCCGGCGGCGTCCGGCGGCGGCGCCTGGCTGTACACCTTGTCCTTCTCCAGCACCATCGCCTTCGGGGTGATCTGCAGCTGCAGAAACTCGACGACCTTGGAGCCGGCCGGGGTGCCGGCCAGGTAGACGACGATCTGCTTTGCGTAGTCGACAAAGTTCTGCTCCTTGCGATCGAGGCACAGCGTGATGATGAAGTCGAGCACAAGCTGCACGTTGCCCGCGTGCGGACCGTTGGATAAGGCCTGCCACAGCGCCTGAATCTCGTTGTGCAGCGCGTTCCCGCACTTGACGGTGATCTCGAACAGGTTGACGAGCAGCATGTACGACGCCGCGGTCGGGCCGCCGTTCGGATCGATCTGCAGCTCGATGGCCTGGATCCACGGCAGCATCGCGGCGACGATGTTCCGCTGGTGATCGGGCTGCAGGTCCTTGAAGAAGCGCGAAAACTCCGAGAAGACGTGGAAGGCCAGCTCGGGATGCTGCTGCGCCAACCTCTGCGACGTTTCGAACTGCGCTCGCTTGTACACGGCGATGGTCTTGTCCGAGATGCTGATGTCCAGATCCTGCAGCTTCGAGTTCTTGTTCTGCCGCTCTTCCAGCAGCCGCAGCAGCCGGACGGACTTGACCCGCAGCTGGTTGTTCTCGTTGCCGAGCGTGTACAGGCCGGCGCAGAGGATCTTCCAAAACGCCGGGGCAAAGTCGGACCGCTCCATCAGCACGTCGGTCACGACCTTGAAGTAGCTTTCGAGCGCCTTGGGCGACTTGGCGCAATAGCACATCTCGATGGCGCGGTTGAGGAAGTACGGGAACTCCTGGTTGTAGATGATCAGGTTCTTGAGCGCGCGACGGCCCGCGGCGTGCGTCTTGTCGCTCGGGGTGCTGAAGATGGTGTCAATCCACGAGACCATCCGGCCAACGTCGAAGGACATCTGCACGCCGCCGGGCGCGGTGAAGTTGACCGGTCCGGCGCACAGGGTCGCGAGCGCGTTCAACGCCGCGACCTTGAGGTTACGCTTTTCAATCTCCATGGACGCGTCCAAGAAGCGCGTGTTCCCGTACCCGTTGTCCCGGTCCAGCATCGAGCGTCGCTCGCGTTGCCGAATGACCTCTTCGTTCGGCGAGTAGCCGCACCAATCCTCCATGAGGGAGAAGGCCGCCTTTCTCGACTGAAACGGCATCCACCGCAGCGGATCGGCAGTCTTGATGATGCCTTGATACAGTTCCTCCATGAGGCCGCAGAAATGCGTCCTCAGCTTGTTGTACTCCCACTCGTTGGAGATCTCCGCGTCGCTCAGGAACAGCCGGATGTCCTTGGTGTAGTTGACGAGGTTGTTGAGGATCCACTCGTCCTTGTACGCCTCGGCGCTGTGCAGAAAGCGCGACGTCATCTTGTACACGTGCGCGACCTCGGTGCGCATGAGGTCCGACCGTCGGTTGCGACGAGGATTGCTCATCGAGCGCTGGTGCATCCTGATCTTTGCCTCCTCGTTCCCGTTCACCACCGCCGGCTGCAGGCACTCGAGCAAGGTCTTGTAAAGGCTGTGATTGATCGAGCCGAGGCCGACGACGACCGCTTCCCTGATCTTCTGGTTCGTCACGCACAGGAACGGGATGACCTTGGCGAAGAGCTCGTTGGCGGTCAGGACCTTGTCCACGCCGGGCTGCGACGACTTCGAGCCCTTGCGGACGTGCGTCGAGCTCTGCGACTGCGAAGCCGTGTGGTAGGGCCCCTTGTTGGTCAGAGTCGAGCATGCGAAGATGAGGTACAGCTTCCACTGCTCGACGACCAGGTCCGGTGCCGTGATGGCGAACCTCGAGCTGCCCTGCCGGTCCATGAGGTCGAGCATCGAGTACGGGTTGCCCTGCGGCACCTCGCCCAGCCTCGAGATGGTCATCATCATCTGCGAGATGCGGCTGCACACGCTCTCGCGAGTGAGCGTCACGGCGAAGGGGCACGTCTCGAAGGCGAGACGAATGATGTTCGGGAAGATGATGTTGAGCCAGAGAGCGGCGTCGTGCGGCACGTCGCTGCCGCACAGCTCGATCAGAGTCGTCTGCAGATTGCTGGCCCTCATGCCGCGCTGGAGCCTGCTGCGCTCGGCCACGGACAGCTTCTCGTCGTTGACCGCGACCACCATCTCGGGCGTCTTTTCGATGATGTGTATGATGCGTTCGTTCGTCTTGCCGAGAGCCGTGTCGAACTCCGTGACCAGTCTCAGGACGCTGATCGCGAACGTGCGAACCCTGCAGGCGGGGGAGCAGAGGAAGAACAGACCGTGAGACTCGACCTCGTCGACGTGCGCGGAAACGCCCGCCAGGTCGAGCTGGGCGCCTCGGTGCGTGGCTCCGGTCTCGTCGCCGCCTTCTGCGGGTGCCACACGTTTGGTCTTTTGCTTGATCTCCTCGATCCAGATCTCCAGCAGCTCGATGTACAGGCGCAGCGTGCTCTCGATGTGATCTGGGCCCAGCATGCCGCCGTCGGACATTGTCGAGTACCGGTCGTCAAAGTTGAAGATGAAGCGCGCGAAGCCGACGGTGACCTGTTGGGCAAACGACTGTCGCGCAATGGCCTTGAGCGACTGAGCGGAGGAGGCGGCGATGTTGCCCTGGACGTGGGCGGTGCCGGTGCAGAGAAGATTGATGAGCGACTTGAAAGAGATGTGAGGGGAAAGACAGCGCGGCAAGGCCTGGACGGCGACGTGCAGCAGGTCGTAGTACGTCTGCCGCACCTCGGCGGGCGTGGCGTGCTCCTCGCGTCTGGTGAAGCTGAACGCTTCCGCCATCGGCGTCTTGGGCGTAGGCGTGGCGAAGCGGCCGTCGAGCTCGGCCTGCCCGCCAAAGTGCTTGTCGCAGAGCAAGGTGATCTCGGCGAGGATCTTGCAGAACTTGTTGTACGACTCCTTGGTGACGCTGTCGAAGCCCGAGACCATGACGGGCCTCGACAGGCGCTCCTCTTTGCTGAGCTCGGACGTCGTGGACGTCGGGTCGACGCTGCGGGGGCTCAGGGGCATGGACGACACCTGGAAGGGCTCCAGCGACGGGTCGCTGTCGAAGCTTTTGGGAAACGGCGGAGGCTGGCCCTTCTCCAGGTCCGTCATGATGGCGAGGAACGATCGGATTCCGATGACCACCTTTTCGGGCTCCAGATCGATCATCCTCGGCTCCTTCCCGCTGGCGTAGAGCTCGGAGCTCATCAGCGCGGGAAACAGGATGTTTTCGAAGCAGAACTTTTGGTACTTGTAGCCAATGATGCGCACGAGCTGGATCAGCGGCTCGGCGACCGCGGGCTCGGTGGATATGTAAGATTTGCGGCCAGGTATGAAGACGAGACGGGTGATCTCTTGCAGGTTCCGCAGCGCCACGGACTGCGTGTCGGCAATGCGGTAGAGGTAGGTCCAGACGAGACGGCAGATGCCTCGAAGGGCAGAGGGCCGCGTGCTGCGTTCCTTGAGCTTGGACTGCAGAGGCATGATGAGCGACATCCACGACTGCACGAAGATCTCGTGCGGAGAGGCGCACACAACGGCGACCAGCGCTGGGAAAGCGTTGCTCCAGTTCTTGGGTTTGGTGAGCGCGTGTTGCAGGCGCGGCTTTATGATCTCGATGAAGCCCCGCCAACGCGGCGTGTTGAGTTCCGAGGTGGCCGTGGCCGCGAGCGGGAGCAGCAGCTCCCTGAACAGGTTGTTGAAGGCGTACTTGACTGGCTGGCCCGAGGCGCTGACGGACATCTTGGCCAGGTTGATCATGAACTCGCACGACTGGTTCCAGGCGACGTCCGGCTGAGACTTGACGCGAAGCCAGCGCATGCCCCGAATGACGAGCACGGCACGACCTTCGGGCTCCTTGGCCGTGGCGATCTGCATGGATTCCAGGTCCTGCAGAAACCGGGCGGTGACGTTGGCGAAGTCGATCTCGCTCATGGAGCCCAGCAGCTGTCCAAAAATGACCCAGTTCGACTGCCGGAACGGCGAGGACTCGAGCTCGTCGGGCAAGGCGCGACTCAGCTGCTTGTAGATGATGTCTTGCAGCCGGTCGGACATGTCTGGGCCGACGTCCGCCAGCGTGCAGACGGAGAAGATCTCGAGCAGGACGCGGCAGAGCAGATAGATGGATATCGTGGACCTCCTTTCCAGCTCCTGACACTTGCGGTGCAGCGCCACGTTGGCCTCGGCGCCGGCCGCGTTCGTCGTGGACAGCATCTTCAACGCCTGCGCTCGCTCGTCCCTCGCGGCGTTGGCGGCCTCGCTCTTCTGCTTGCGCCACAGCATCAGACTGTCGATGAGGGGCTTCGGCTTCTGTCTCGCAATGTGGCCCAAGGCCGACACGAGCTGGTCAAAGGCCGGGTCGACGCCGGGCCCGCATATGGTCTCCACCCTCGGCTCGATGGCTCGCGCGTCGCTCAGACACAGGTTGATCTTCTGCTCCGCCGTGCCAATGAAGGCGTTGAACAGGTGGTGCAGCGCATACTCGCTGACCATGACCTGCGCCGGCGCCTGTGGGTGGGCGCTCCTCGACTGACTGCGCGTATGATTGTGGGATCTGCTCGTGCGACCGCTGCTGTGCATCCGCTCTGGTCGCCGGTAGTTCGCGGTGCCGCTCTGCATTGCGGGTTCCTGCCCAAACGATGGGCACGGCGAGTGGCCCTTCTGGCTGACGGGAGGTGGCGCCATGGCCCCGTACCCGTTGCTCTGCATGACGACGGCGTTCGCTGAGGTCGGTGTCGTCACCCCAACGCCGATGCTGCTGTCGCTGGTCATGGTCCTCGTGTCGAACGCATGCTGGGCCTGTCCGCCCGCTTCAGCAATGATCTGAGGAGTGATTGGGCTTGTGGTTGGGGAGCTCGCGTGGCTCGCGTTCCGTGAATGCTGGATGGCACCGTGCACGATCGATGTCTGCCGGTGATGGCCATACGAGCCCGAGAGTTTGCGCTCGAGCAGAGGTGGTGGTGGTGGTGGTGGCGGCCCTACTCCTGCTGCTGCTCCTCCTCCTCCTACGCCTCCCGCAGCTACAGCCGCGTCGGCATGCGCCGCTACTCTAGGCGTAGTGGTGGGGCCGGGCGTCTGTGAGCGCGAGGGGACGTGAGTCGAGGTCGATGTGAGGGCGCGGCCACGTGGGACGGATGGTTCTCGCGGGTAGGCTGAGGTCGGGACGGTCGTGTTGGAGAGTATGTCGTGTGTATGGGCGATGGCATGGTGATTAGACAGAGATTCGCTCCGTTGTCTGCCTTTGCTCGTGAACTGCGGAGCAGCTATAGTGGACCAAGTCGTTGTCAGCTTTACATGTCCGCCTGGTGGGTTATTTTGCAGTGCAAAGGAGGCTTGGTCCTCAATTCAAGGGGAAACAGAGGTGCGTGTAGGTTTTCATGTCTGGGCTGAAACTCGGCCTGGTGGCTCCGCTGCAACAAGAGCGGAGCACCACACCGGGGGACGAAGTTTCTGAGCCAGGCACGTCGAAACACGTACGAGCGAACTGGTGGTGGACCTGGAGACAGCCAGCTCGGGGTGCGGTCGCACCACAGGACGATTGGATACGGCGCTGATGCCCAAATGCTGCTGCCACACAAACACCCCCTCCTCTTTCTTTTCTCTCGCCAACATGCGCGCGCGCCACCACCACCGCCATCGTCACCACATGCGGGCTGTCTCTAGTCTCCGATGCCAGTCGAGCGCAGGGAGCGGAGCGAGGGGGTTGTGTGGAAGGGAAGCAAACGGGAGGCGAGAGGGGCTTGGGGGGGTTTGGTGTGTTAAGCGCATGATAGCAGTCCTTCGTCGACTCACCCATCCAAAACACTCTTCGCCGCGCGCCGCCTTGATCATAGGACGAGGTTAGGCGGTAATGAATAGCACGGGCTCGTGACGTATCATCTCAAGGGAGAACCGACGGAGAGTAGTGGTGAGAAGCATGCTCTCGCTGAGGTGGCGCGCCGTCGCCTGGAAATTATTATTGGGGACACGACAACTGAGTAGTGACCGGCAGCTAAAACGGTCGGGGACTAAACTTGTGCGTCTTTTGCCCAAAGAACAGTCGAAAAGCGCCCCTTCAAGGCCCGTCCGCTACTGTGTTCAGGTATCGCGCGTTCCTTCTTTTTTTTTTCTTGTTGGTTTATTTATTTTTTTTTTCTCTCTCTCGTTCTCCTGGAAGCCTTCTTGACAGGTTGCTTGGCTACCGCGTCCGCGGGGACGAAACGCAACGACGTGCAAAACCGACGGGGAGATAATAATAGAGACAGTGCCTGACTCTGTACCTGTACAGTTTGAGCGCGCAGCAGTAGTACGGTTGCCGATCGTCTTTCTTCCCCTGACATGCGCTGCGAAAACGGGTGACCTGCAAGCAAGACCGCCGTTCCTTTTCCATGCTGTGCCTTGGGACAGCCACCACCAGTGGCAGCTCTCGCGGCACGACACGACGCCGCAATAATCACACCTTCCTTGCCGTCGTGCCTCTTGCTCTTCCACGGCTTGGGGATTCTTGTTCACTTGTTCGCGTGTTTCTCTTCCCCCCCTCCCTTCCTCTCTCTCCCTCGTCGCTGCGCTTTGTTTGGTTCGCCGCCCGCCTTTCCTAGCTACGGGGCATGACGGTGGAACTCAGCGCCGCGTGGTTCGGAATTACGTCCGTTGCTGACGTCTGCCCAATGAAAACGCCTGCTCGGTTTCTCTGCTGGCCATCGGTGCGAACGAGCAAAGAATGTGGTCGCCGATGGCTGGAGTGCTGTGTGACCGATCCGGCGTCCACTGGCAGCCGGTGGTCCGAACAGGTAGATGTGTGTTGCACTTTGCAAGAGCAAGCACCCAGCACAGCTTGCTCCGTTCCACGCCGGCGCCCGCTGCCCACGACGACTTTGGTGACTCCATGGGTGCTACGGGCGTACTTCGGATGGACACAACTCCACACGAGGGCACAGAGTTACTACAAGTCCAGGTGACATCCCGTCACCAAACACGTTGGGCACAACGCTGGGTGAGTCGGTGGATGCGGCTGGAATTCATGTCTTGGTCACGTGTCGTTCACATGCACGCCACTCTCGCTTCAGAGGTGCAGCAACTTAAGGCGTCTTCACTTCACGGGTGATCAACGTGCCCCAATCAAGGAACGTGTCAAGAACACCGCCGTAGCGGCTGCGAGAGATTTGCGATCAGTAACAATTCATCCTTTGAAACTTTCACGCCAAAGGACGTTTCTGTGGTGAGGCGCGATACCTCGAGATCCCGCACTCTTTTTGGCTTTTCAGCCACCAGTATTCGCGCGCTCTAGCATGTCCACGACGCGCGATGCTCCTGCACACGTCATACACAAGACCAAGCCAAGCAGTGAATCAGTTATCATAACAAAAAGCAACCATGTGCGCCGTCCTTGTTGCCCGAGAAAAAAAAAAGGAAATATGACTCAGGAGCGAGAGAGGAAAAACAAACTGTATGCTATTTTGAGAGTTGGGCAGCATGTGAACTTTCTTCACGTTCCAACGGCGTTGATTTTGGGAGGCAGCAGGACAGCAGGCCGAAGGAACGATCACGCCAACTCCTCCGAATAGGTCGACTGACCGGAGCAAGGCCCGTCCGTGTATGTCGGTTCGGCCAACGTTTGTGCTTGCGCTTGCGTTGAGTTAGGCATCCTCCGCACACTAGCACACGCGGGACGGGCTGAACGTCCAAGCAGTCCACAGCCCAAAGGTCGTCATTGCTTCTGCCTCAGTAGCGAAACTTTAGGGCGGACCTGCGAAACTCCTTATCGCGTGCAGGGCGGGAAAAACGCAGTTGCAGAGCGCGCGCTGATCGTACAGCCAGGATGACCCTTCTCAGCCGCGTGCCGGGCAGGGAAAGGGCTCGCAGACCCGAGGTCAAGCAGGCGGCGAGTTGGGCGGCGGGCTTTGGAGACTCGATTGGGACGGCGTAGCGGATGTGAAGTTGGGCTGGGGGATGCCGGTGTTGAGTCTTCCACGACGTGCGGTGTCCTGCAGGCCTGCTCTGTGAGGAGAAACAGCGGGGGTTGTGCGAGCTCAGCGGCACGGCTTGCCCATCAGCGATCGGTGGAACGCATGACGTCGACAGAGCTGAAGCGCCAGGCTCTGTGCGACGGTTTGGGCGGCACGTCGCCGAGAACGAGCAGGCTGCGGATGGACATGAAAGAGGAGGGGAGATCGAAGGGTGGCGGCTCGAGGAGTCCAGCGGAGGGAGCGCTAGGCTGTGGGAAGATCTGGAAAAGAAGCTAAGCAATCTAGTCTGGAGTCTAGAGTCGGAGATTTGCGCACGCTATTCGAAGCCAGGCAAGTCAGCCATGGAAGGGCGCGCGGAGGGCGGATGCACGCACCCAGGAACAGGTTCCGCCGCATCGCACACTGGCTGGCGGCGTGCTGCAGCGCCCGTGACGGTGACGAAGCAAATATAGTACGCTGCAGCGCGGTACATCGCTCCTGGAGGAAGAACGAGGACGGGACGGTGTATTGTTCTTTGGACAGTCGTCCTAGCCGCCATTCTCGCCGCAGGAAGAAGATCCGCATCCAATCCCGCACGTCGTCCCCGGCGCGGCTCCGAAGCCGGGAACGAGGACCCCCCGGCCAGGCTGCTGGAGTGCGGCTGCAAGAAGGTCGGAGGGGAGGGGGAGAAAGAGGATGGATCTCGACGGCGATCAGCGGTGGTGCGAACGGCGGAAAGGATGGTCCTGCCGGGCGTGCGTGCAGGGAGGAGGAGGACGATGACGAAGACGGTGCTGATGATGTTAATGATGATGTGCAGAGCGTGTGTCGGCCAGCGTGGAACCCAGCCCTGGCCTGGCGAACGAGATCAACACGGTGACGATCGGGAAGGGATGCAGCCGGTAGCGAGTGCGTTGATGCCGGCACAGAGGCAGACTGTGCGTGACGAAGCACGGCGGCCACACGACGGCGCTCGATGGAAGGGAACAGAAGGAGGTCGACACATGGTCAAGGCCGCCGGTGACAGATGCAGAAGCTCACGCGCCATCATCGTGCATGCAGAGGCGAGGCAGCGCGCAGGACGTGTGGTGACGGAGCGGGGCGATGGGATGGGAAGATGCAGACACAACTCACACGGGGCGGCGCCGGGGACGTGGACAGCGCAAAACACGGCGAGCTGCTGCTGCTGCTGCTGCTACTGCTGCGACTGCTCGCCCGCCGCACACTCGCGCACAGCACGTAGATAGTTACCGTACAGCCCGCCGTGCAGATGGTCGAGCGGAAGCGCTCGTTGAGGCGTGCGCGCCGGTCGCTGGGCGCCCGATCGCGGAGACGAGGCGCTTGCACGCTGAGCACGCAGCACCCGCGCTACCGTCGTGTTGGGCCGCGACCCAGATCGTCGTTCCGCGACCTCACCGCTACTCCAGCGACTCCAAAGCGTCCAGTCGTGGCAGAGGCACGGCTCGACAGCGCCGCAGTCTGGAGCTTAGTTGCAGGCCAGCGCCGCGCTCGAGCACGCAGCAGTGCCGTGGAGCCCGTCCTTGTCGTCCGCATCGCTCGCCTGCGCTGCCCGCCAAACACAGCTCGCCCGCCGCAAACACCGCGTGCTGCTGTCTCTCTTCCTCCTCTCTGCGCGCGCTCGACTCTCCCCGCCCTTCACCCTCTGTCGTCTTTCTCGCTCTCTCACTCACCCACGCGCTCTGTCGTGCGATTGTGTGTGCGTGTGCGCGTGTGCGCGTGTGTGAGAGACCTGCTGCCTCTCTTCGCTCCCTTTCCCAGCGGGCCCAAATCGTCGTCGTCCTCCTCCTCCTCCGCCCACAGACTCTTCCACCTTCGGTCTCTACGGCCTCACGCCCTCCAATCTCCACCCCCACCCCCACCGCCAGCTCTCCTGTCTGCGTTTCTTTTGCAGTCCATTTGCCTCGTCGCCGGCCCTCGCACCACGTCCTCAGCACTGCCCATCCTGGTCCCACGTCCAGTCGCTCGCAAGGATAGCCTTTCCAGCCCAGTCCTCGGCGATCCTGCTCTCGCGTCCAATACCACCGAACTCCAAATCACGCAGCCTGCGTCCGCGCGCAGATAACGATATACCGCTTGTTTCTCGGCCTTCCTTCTGCGTCACCGACTCTTCCAGCACAACGTATCAGCCCTCCTCCAGCCCGTGTCGTCTGCCCTGCCATGGGCTTCGCTCCTCAACCACCGCCGTCGTCCTCCTTCCTCCCTCCTCTGTCCTCGGCCTGTTGAGCGGCATCTGATGGCCACAACGGACTCGACAGTGCAGCAATGCTAGGCCAACTGCTGCACTCTTTCAACCCTGCGCGCCGCGTCGCGCCGCGCACCCTCGAGGTCAGCTCGCAGATTGAGGACGTACATACAAAGGGCCTTCTGTTCCCTGACGTGCCGTATCTGCGCGATGCCGACGCCTTGACGCCCTCCACGCCCGCGTCCGAGCCGCCGGACTGCCACCTGCCCTCGGACCTGGACCTCGACGACAAGCGTGACGTCCGTGTTCTCATAGCCCAAGGTGAAACCTTGACGCTGCAGCCCCTGCTGCTCTTCGATTCGAAGTACGACCCGAACGTGCAACCACCGACCATCAGGCATATCCGGTCCGGCAGCAGGGGCGAAGGCCTCGCCAACCACGCTCGCACCGCGTCCGGCCCTCCACGTCAGTACGGAAGATTGCCTCAGATCGCTTCCATCCCGGAAACCAGCGGCCGAGAGTCTCCCAGCCTACCGAGCCCCACGTCCGCCACCGCCACGCCGCAACGCTCGCGCTTTCGACGCTCGTCGCTGCCCTCCGCCGGCGAATCGGACGTATCCGGCCCCTCGACGCGCCACAGAGACACGGACGAGATCGTAAACACGGCCCTGAACTGCATGTTCGAAAATGTCCAGACGACATATCGCGGCATCAGCAACAAGATCAAGATCGTCCAGCGGGAAGCCAAGCCGTACGACTCGACCATCTGCAGGGACACGTTTGGCAACCAGTTTGCGGCGTCGCACGCGAGAACGTCGAGTTCGTCGGTGCGAAAGCCAAGCGGCTTGTCCTCGTCCTTCACCGTCGGAGACGCGTACCCTGACCCTCCCAAGTCAGCGTCTGCTCTCGACGAGGGCCCTCGCATGGAGGAGCCTCGCAGGACGGTCCTGATCACGCGCACTTTTTCTGTCAAATGGTCGGACGAAGAGGCCGCAGCCGCCTCGAGTGATCCGTCCGACGCGGAGAAGAGCGGCGGCGCCAGCGACGCGTCCAGCAGCCTGCCGGCCGTTGTTATCGCCGGCGGAGAACACAGCCAGAGCCCGCAGAAACCCCGTCGCACGCCCATCAGGCCTTCTCCAAAGCCGCCCATGTTTGCCATCACACTGGTCCTCTCGCTTCCCGTCTCGACGATCGATGGTTCACGACCAGGATCACGCTCCGGAGGCCTACGGAGAAAGGGTTCGGAGATGAACAGCGGCTGGACCTCGCTCGCGTCATCCCTTGACTCGGGCATGGTCATGGACTCCCTCTCCGGCTTGGAGTCTTCGACCGCGTCGCTCAGCAGCGACGTGGACGAGCGAGTAGATAAGGTAATTGGCCAGCACTGGGACATCATCGTTCGGACGCTGTCGAGCCTGCAGCAGCTTGCGGAGCAGAAGATCCTTGAGCAGCTGAGGATAGCCTCCCACCGAGGACGGGCTCCCAAGCTCCTGAACTACTCTCTTGCCTCTGATGTCGACCTCAAGAAGGCTGCGACAAAGGCTTGCATCAGGGTCGTACGCGGCATCAGGATCCTGCGAGTGCGAACTGGACAAGGCAAGTGGGGCGTCTGGCGGGAGGAAGCACGATGGCTGAACAAGTGGGCGTCCGAGCGGGAGAAGACGAGCTTCTTGTTCAACCTCTGCACCGCTTTTCTGGGCACACACACGGAGTGGCTCGACATTGCCGGTCCAAAATACTACAGGCAGCAGCACCGCGAGCAGCTGCGCCTGGGCTCTGCGAGCGAGCCGTCGGTGCCTCACCGTACCGTCATCGTCTCCAATGACAAGATGGTTGCGCGACGACTCATCTTCTTGCTCTCCGCATTCTTGCCAGCCAACCACCACACCCCTGGCGACGCTTCGCCGCTACGACCTAGTACGTCGGCATCCGTCCGTGCGTTCTCACAGTCGCCACCGATGCATGTGCCTCTGTCTCGAGAGGAATCGCTCCGCCGCACGATCAACAGACGCGGCAAGCGCAGCGGCTCCCGCCAGCCAATGTCTGGCGGTCGCACTCCGCAGCCTTCGAGTGCGCCAAGCGACACAGACGATCGTACAGAGACTGGCACGGTCCGTTGCGTTGGGGACCAAACACAGTCGCCTCGGAACTCTAGCGAGCTGCGGTCATTGATACGAGCTAAGCTCACCATTGTTGACGTCGATCCGTCTGCACGCAAGAGCAGCGCCACGACGTCGCCAACCGTCAATCCGGGCACGGTCATACCTGCCCCGCACATTGAATTCCAGCGCAAGTATTCCTCTGGTCAGCAGGATATGAGACGGCCAGACAGCCAAGACAGCCTAGCCTCGGAGAACTTGATGCAGACGCTGCAACGCAGCAACACGGGCACAAGTGTCGAGTCGCAGCCTGGCAGCCGCTGGGGCAGCTTGCGGAGCTTTTGGAGCATGGGCAGTCGACGGGACTCGTCTACGAACTACAGCGACGCTACCCAAACGGATGACGAGGGTTTGGGCATCGTCGGTCTCCACGCCTCAGATTCTTACAATAACAACAGCGGTGGCGCCGGCAATAAGTTGCTACAGCAGATGGTCGGTGAGGCGGAAGCGGAGCGCGCTCGCGTGCGGAGAATCACCGGCACAAGCTCGCCCAACGCAATACCCACCACCCCGGCTATAGTCAGTCCAGAGATGGAGCTACCGTCCAGCTCCTCGACGTCACATCCCATAGATGTCCCCGTAAAGATGACCGTCAACGAGCGGGATGGCGTGATCGACGTTGAGTTCCCTGGCTTCTCCCCGGTCAGGTCGCCTCCGGGGCCCCAGGCCCCATTCAGTTCCAGCTACGGCAGCCTCGGAGTTCTTCAGTCGCTCATGTCCGATACGCCTCGCGATACTGGACACGCCATGAATGTAGCTGGGTGGCTAAGGTCCGGAGTTCATCCCGACTTCGAGCTTCAGGCGGCCTTGCCGTATCCGGAGCTGATCGACGACGTCAAAGCTGCCATGAAGGCCGAGCCAACGCCAATCACTCGCAGGACCGTGCCCGAAGGCGAGGTGAAAGAGGAGTGGGTTGACGTGTGCACGTCCAACGTGGCCGACGCAACCAACTTCACCATCACCCGCATTAAGCTGCGGAGACTCGTACGATACTTGCCTCCACCGCCGCCACCGGTCGTCACACCCATGTTGACCACTCGGTCCAGCATCAAGTCCAAGTTGCCAATCAGGTCGCAATATGGCAATCCGTACGACGAATCGCTGCTTCAAGTTCCGACTCAGATCACTGTAGACGAGGTCTTTGAGGAAGAAAAGGTCGTGGATTGCGACCGCGCCTTGACGGATGCTTTGGAACGAGTGATTGCTCAAAGTGGCCCTCCATCCAAGACGTCATCTGCTGCGAACTCGCGCGCCAACTCTGTTCGCGGTCGCAACAACGTTCCAGCCTACGAGGACCGCGTCGAAACGCCAGAGGTTCCTCAGAATGAGTGCAAGAAGATGGTCATCGGAGCTCTGGAGCAAATCGCGACAGCAGTGGAACGCGACAGGCGCGACGCGCGCAAATACGGCGGCGCCAGACTTCGAAGTCTCAACGAGGGAGCGGAGAGCAGTCTACGGGAAGGAATATCGAAATGGTTTGACGAGATCGAGCGGAACAAGAAAGCGATTGATGCGCAAAAGGCAGAGATGTCCCGCGAGGCTTTCGTACCAACTGCAAAGGTCAACGACGACGCGAGCAGTCAATCTACAGTCAAGCCCAAACGATCGAAGAGCAAGAAGGAGAGCACATCCGCGAAGATGTCTTCTTTGCCCCAGCAGCTCATTCAACCTACAACAAAGGCCTAGGGTGGTTTTTTTTTTTTTTTAAAAAAAAAAAAAAAAAAAAAAAAAAAAAAAAAA